CACATGAAGGGTGCCATTTACCACAATACTCATTACAATTCGACGCAGCGTCGGTATGAATACGAACGTCGGTGACGTAGGTATTTAGAAGAATCTTTTTTACCGACGTCTATCGAATCTCTCGGCGTGTTTCATCTCACCTTTACCCTAAATTCCAATTCTCCGATATAAGAAGATAAACCTTATGACTCGCGATGACTGAGATAACTGAGAAAAATCGGCGAAACATTGGCACACCCTTGGCGAGAAATAAATAACATTAATTGCACGATTAATGGCTAAATCAAGGAATTACTTTCAAGTTTCACCTTACTTTGCCTGACTGCGTATTGGACACGAGTCGACATGCTTTTCTAGGGAATATTCGGGCACGCGTTCCGACCTATTTTCCCCATGGAAAATTTCCATTCCTCTCAGCTGACTTGTTCGCGCAAGGGATTCGTATATTAATACGTCTCCGCCGCGAAAATCCATCACTGTCGCAACTCGTGATGCAGTCGTGATCCGCGATGCCAGAATAGATCTCTCTCGGTGTGCCGTCACGCGGATGATGCCGCATTACGTGCCGCGTCATGATACTTCTCGTCGCAGAGTACTCAATCTCCACCCAGGGTATCTATTTGCATGATCTCGATGCTTCTGCCCTGGAAGGGAAATTCCTTGCGATAATTATTATTTGTTAAACTCGAAAGACAAGTGCATCCGTCCTCGTTGGGCCCTCGAGCGCGCACCTAACCTCAAACCGAGTAGACCCGTATTTGCGCCTCAAGGCGTGAGGCCAAGTGCGATACGAAGTGCAAACCGCGTTGGACTCGACGAACGAAACGACGTTCGGAGGATTCCTTTGATCAATCTCGCTTTAGCTCATCCGATTCCCTTGCGCGCCTTGTGGATAACGTACTTCCTTGAAGAGACAGCCGCGAGCCCTCAGCGAAAAGATGGCCGACTGCGTTCGCGCGAAAGTATCGCTTGACGAGACGCGACTACGTTGTAAAAATGGAAAAAAATTCCCGAAGTTGGTTTCCCCTCGGTTTCAATACAAATAACACACCTAGGAAATAATGTGCACTAACCTGAGGAATAAGGGATGCATAAACCCTCGATATAATTTTATATAACGTACTTTTTTCAAAAGATAACCACGGGCCCTCAGCTAAAAGATGGCCGACTGCGTTCGCGCGAAAGTATCGCTTGACGAGACGCGACTACGTTTCAAAAATAGAAAAAAAATTCCCGAAGTTGATTTTCTCTCGGTTTCAATGCAAATAACACGCCTAGGAAATAATGTGCACTAATCCGAGGAATATGCGATGCATAAACCATCGATACAATTTGATAATTCGATCTGGTGAAGAAGAGGTCATAACCACCTTTCGCCGTCACCCCTCGACGCTGTTTTACATTTTTCTAGAACATTATCTCCTCTGTGGGGAACAGAAGGCGACAGGGAAGAGACCAGGAAAGCCCCTCGATGTGCAGCAGCGTGAAATCTCGGGACATCTCGTTATACGTTCCCTCGAATAGGCCCGCGACCCAGAAAAGACAACTCCGAAGGTAGACGCAAGTGTTGCCGGGCGCCATATTGGAGGCCGCTGCAGCCTGCTGCGAGGCGCGACCGCAGCACTGCAAGGGAGTAGCGGGATAATCGGAGATGCACCCGGCCTTGGCGCAAAGTGTACGGATCCCTCCTTTTGGCGGTTTCCTCTCTCGGTCAATGGCTCTCGAGCATGAAAAGGGACATCAATGGGGCAGATGCGGAAACGGGCCCTAAGTTTTGAGTCGCGGCTTCGTAGCGCGCGCACACGGCGCGGCTCAAACTCGGCTCGTTTCAGGTGCAACCGGGCGCAAATAACGCACTCTGAGATGAGATGGGTTCGTTATTTTGATAGCCTCCGCCGTAGTGGTTGCCGGCGTACCTAGTACCGCACTCCCACATCCTATTGCCTCACCAAGTAGCGCCCCCTAGTGTCCTGCCGGCTACCTAACCCTTTCCGTGTGCGCGTGCCCCTTTCTCCCTTACACCGTTCCCCGTGCCATCAACTTTAACGATACATCCACGGAATTCCAACGCGGCCGACTCGCTTCTCGAACATACGACCACGTAATATTTACTCTTTTTAGCAATATACAACTTAATTATATAACTTTTATGTCATTAAATCACTTAACCGCTTATTTAGTACACTTATTAATGTATGCGTCTGTATTCACTCGTGCCGCAACCAGCACTTTCAGCATTTTTACTAGATTCAACGTACGAATTCAAACCCCACCCCCGAAGATTACAAAATCGGGTGAATAAACTTAGGCGAGATGAAAGTTCGAAAAATGAGCACTTTTACTAAAGATACAAAATCGATCCCCTGGGTAGGGTATGTATAATATACGTGGTTTTCTATCCGTATATTATCGCATACTATGAACATGCAAGGATGTAGAGGTTAGACGTTACGTTTAATAAGCGTTCACGCTTTCAGCAGTCCCTGAATGGCGATTCCCGGATGTCTTCGAGGTCCATCACTTTTTGCCGAACAAAACGCGTTTTCACGTGGCCTGAGAATAAGGCCCAGGAGGCTGTGCGGTTTGTAGAGGAAGAGGCCCTTTCTTTCCCGCCATTTCGAGCATGTAACGCATCGCAGCTAAGCGTCCAACCCCGCCCAAGGAATACCTATATCTTTACATCCGGCTCCACCGATCTTCACGCTCTCGCGAACACGACCAAGGGCCTGGTTGCCGATTGTGCTCGATTCAGGTCAGACCCAAAATATTATGTTTACAGACATTGAAGCCGGATGACTCCCCCTCTCTGGCGGCGTTACACCAACTACAAGGAGAGAGAACCCATAGGTCAAAGATTTTTTGCTTCGGTGCGGTTTACCGCGAACCATTGAGGGAGAAGATCGTATAGATTGATCCTGATTGGCTAGGCGAGTCCTGCGTGGCCCTCTTATCGTCTGCTTGCATTCTATGTATCTATGTATGTACAACCTTAAGGTAACATGAAAGGGTCATTCTATATATATCAACTCGTGAAAATGTTTATAAAGCTTTTCTCCAAACTGGGTGCACTGAATTATCTGAAACTTTAACNTCACGATGCTCGTGAAATTTCATCTTTAATAGAAAAATTCTTTTTATCTATCCTAGACTAGAGCTAACAATGTATTTTCTTTTTCTTTTTCAGCAAATCAAATCATCAAATTTCTCGACGTGTGTAGCTTCACTTTAAAAATCCTCATTTTTTCATAGAAATGTAAAGACCAGCTTGTTTATGTATAAGGAGATTATGTTGGTGAGGAGCGCAAATTGCTGATTGTTCTGAATCTTATATTTGGCAATTCGCTGTTAAATGTGGGATTATCTATATTTATGGATTGTCCTTTGTAGGAGATGGCCCTCAACTTGGAGAAATGGTAATTCGGTCGATTTCCCGTCAACCAAGTATGTCCTGCCTTCCGATTTGAACATCATACAATGTACACCTCGATAGACATAATTCACTACGAGTCATGCGTACGACGTGTACGTTCTTTGCTCATGTTGCAGGCGTTGTAACCGCCAACCGCATGACCACACGATTGATCGGGGCATAATTTCGCTTATGAAAGGAGTCATATGTGACAGATATATCCGCGAGAGCTTTCGTCGATATCCGTGGATATGTGCTGTTAATGTTTTAACAATATTAGTCGATGCATTAATTACAAACGGTAATTCATCCAGAATGTCATCAAAGTCTGCGCGGAATCGGTCGGACGTTGATTCGTGATCCTCTGACGAGTTTGCTTATCACAATCGCAATACCGAAATTAATTAGACTAATCTATTAAAGTATTAAATTTGACCAAGCTTCCGGAACGGGGTATTCACATTTGCTAGACCCTGAGCACCGTTTACCGACGTCGATAAAGCGCAATTGCACCCGGAGCTTCCTGAAAGCCTTTTCTCCCATATTCGCTATTGACTTTGCTTGGAACAACAAGCACTGAATTCTTCGACGCGTTTTCCTCTCCTCTCCATTAGTCACGAACCTTCCAAAGAATAATGGGATGCAAAGCCCATTTAACCCCGCTTTACTTTAATCAGGATTTAATCGTAAAGAATAGTTCCGAATCATTGGAAAGCGGCAAAAATGAAGTTAAAGTGATATGAAAGGGCCATTTTATATATGCGAAACGTAAAAACATTTATAAAACTTTTTTCGCAAAACTCGGCGCACCGAATCATTTGAAACTTCAACACGTGAGTATGGAGACCCTAAGGAAAAACGCGGTGCTCATGAAATTTCATTTTTCAAACAAAAAATATGTACTCTTGGTTGTAGTCTGGGATAAATAAAAAAAAGGTGTTATTAAAATTGAAATTTCATGAGCACCACGTTCATCCTTAGGACCTCCATAATCACGTGTTGAAGTTTCAAATGATTCGGTGCATCCAGTTTAGAGAAAAGCTTTATAAATATTTTAACATTGACCCTTTCATATCACCTTAAAGTGACTCTCGAATCGGTCTTGGGAAATGTTTAAGTTTTATCAATATAATTCTATTCCAGTAACTCCTTTCTACGGTCTGAATATCTTCGATAATTGTATGCGTGTCTGGAGACTCGGGTCGGAATTCATCACTCGTTGATTCAACCGTAATGTAAAGAGGAAGGACCTTAATAGGTAACCCCGATTAAAATGCCGCGGCTTGTATAAGTCGGTGCGGCAAGCCTCATTTCCTCTGTCTTATTTCCTGGCCGTAAATAACAAGAGGACCGAGACTAATTAAAATTTTACTTCTGTGCTAGAGCAATCAATGTAACTTACTTTAACGACACTTTCAGCCCTTGGGCGGTTCCAAGAGAATCAGATCCTCGCAGAGCTCTGTATCTGAGGGGAAATTAAGTTAATTTCGACTGTTTGTAGAGAGATTTTTGTAGAACATAATACCGTACTTTGTGTGATTTTAAGAATATACACAAAGATGAAAGGACACGTATCATACATTTTTTAAAAAGGTTTCTTTGATATATTGATTAAAACTAGGTTACAATTCGAATGCTTCATGAAAAAGTTACCATAAATTACATCACAGTCTTGTTAAAAGCGATTAAGTTTGATGATTGTTTGTAATGACTTCAGTTATAATCGCAAATATTTTACACGTGTTAAATGTGGGAAAGAGAAACTCTCAAGCATCCCCACTTCCTATTTCTTCTACAGGCTGTACACTATTATTTGGACACATATCTTCAAGTGTTGAAATCGTTGATGCACACGTGGAACATAAATGAACACCATCGACTGCTGTACTTGCACATCTATTACCATCTTTTGTATTCCTCTTTTCATTAGTATGTACACTGCTCTTGTTATTCCGATCAATTTTTGGTTTCACCATTTTGTAATCGGAGGCAAGATCTGTAATAGCTCTGGCCTCTGTATTATCAGAAGTTCTATCAAGTTTAAGCTCAATCTTTATAGGAACCTAAAAATCATAAAAGTATATAGATATATGTAAAAACTGAATATTATAGATTTTATTCATTCTTTTACTCTGTTTTAATAACATTTTTTAAATGCACTCAAAGTAACTATGATAATTGATAAATACCTGGGGAAGAATTTCAATTGGTTGACGCATGGTGGTTGGTGGTGGATTCCTCGAGAAAGAAATATTAAGAATAGGTCCTAATTTAACACTCAATCCATAACCCGATAGGCACAGTACCAAGAATATAAATATTAATGGGATTCCGATATATAGAAGCGTTTTCATAATCCATGATAATGGCCATGGCAAAGGTGCTGTAAAAATATGAGCCAACAAAATAAGCATCGTAGCTGTGAAAATTAAATTTTGAATGCAAGTATTCACCAAATTACTCACCAGTAGCATTCTCTACAAAAAGACCAAAAGCAGTAGCAATTTCTGGAACAGAAGTCAGAACGATGGAAGAACAAAGGTGCGTCAACACTTGAATCGGTGTTACTGTCTCAACTGGATTCGTCATTATACTTGTGTAATATTCTTCGCATTCAGAGGAACCTTTAAAGAGAAATGAAATATTATGAGTCTAGTTTTAGATGTCCAGGGTTTTTTCATTTTTATTTTTGCATATAATCAAATTTAAATACACCAGCTTACCAACAAAATATTGACGAAGCCATTGGAACGTACTCATCTTGTGAGGAAAGCAACTATCAGGCGCATTTTGGTATTTGGATTGTTGAATAGTTAATTTAATCTTAGCTTCCTATATATTATGGTTTAACAGTTAAGAATGTACATATTCTAACATTCTTTATTTCATATTTAATAGTGATTAATGATAAATTAGTGTTTAAAAATAAAACTTACCATCACAAGTTGTTGCCAAGTAATATGGTAGCTTATGAAAAATGCAACAACCAGAAATACCATTATTAACTTTGTAACAGTTTGTCCCCTCCAAAATAAATAAAGCAAGTAGAGACCACATAGTACCATTACAGCTTCGTAGCTCTGAAAATAGAATGATTTCCCATAATTACGCTTTCATTCCAAATAAACTCAAATTTGTAAAACTGAATAACTTACAAATGCATATTTTACGAGTTCTTTTAAATCGTACAATGTTTCAGGAGACCAATAACGATGCTCCTTCGGGAACACATCATTCAAAATTGCATCAACATTTTTAATAGATGCCTTACCTCTAATAAAATTTTCCAATATTTCCAATTGATCATAGGATGCGCGTAAATAAATAGTTCCATGTGTTATATCACCTTCTTCCTATAATACATGTCACATATTATTTCCAAATGCTACGAAATAGAATCACGTGTTTCTATTAACTGATAGATGTATAATGTTGAAATACCCTATAATGAGCATTTGCAAGCAGGATATTAAGCAACCTTTTGAAATACTTATATTCCGTCCTTTCGCTTTCATTTTTAAATGGGCGATCTGTTTTCGGTTGTCTAATAGACAAAGCATGTTCATTTTTATTAACATCCTTGATTTTTATATTTTCGGTTCTGCAAAATTAAATAGAGAATACGTACTATTATTCATAAGTGCTAAATCACGTTACCAACAAGGAAACCTACCTAATTTGTACTATTTCAGAATCTGTAGGAAAATCATAGAGCATCGTCTTAGTATTTTTATCATAGAAAAATGAATGTGGATCGATCGTTTGTTCCTCGGACCTAAAGTCAATCAGATTTAACATTTTTATATTAAACAATTAATTTTAATATAACAATTTAGACTTATATTTGTATAATGAATGAAATATTTACACATGATCTGTAAGCATTATATCGTCACATTTAAGGTTCATAAATAATTGCAACATTGCAATTAAAAATAGAATCCAGTGAACCATGATGAGTTTTAGGTTACCTCCTTACCGCTAGAATAAAACGCTAATTCACAGGTAACAGAGTAAGTTAATTTACAACCAAAAACGTAATTTTTCCTTTAATTGAATATGATAAAATTACATTTCTGAGGCCTTCTTTTCCAACTACGAATTACATCATCGGTATTTATTGATGTAACAGTAACGCAAAAGTACATAATCGAAGCATAATATAAACTACTCTTACTTTCAGTTGGTATATACCTGTCACACACTAAACATTGTCAATATATAAAACAGAGATTCTTTGAATAAAATTCTTGAGATAAAAAACGAAGGTAACATATTGATACAGAAATTATGCTGCCATCTATCATGGATAAATAGATTTTTAAATGTATGTACCATTGCAGAGATGAGTTGGGAGATTGCTGCCCTCGGTGGAGAATGCAGGCAGCTCGTGCACTTGCCCTCAATGGCGGCTAATTTAGAGATCCACCTCACCTCTGCTTCCAATTCATCTCTTATTGTTAGTTAGATCGCGATTGGGAGTAAGTGCACGAGCCGCCCGCATTCTCCACCGAGGGCAACACAGGCGCGATCGCGTGCCCTGCCCGTGAGCAATCTCTCAACTCATCTCTGTCGTGCTACGTGTTCCGCGGTCGTCGCTCGCGAGTCGAAGCGAGGGAGAAAACCGAGCGAGCGTTGACCCTCTCGGATCGTCCGTGCCTCCTCGGTGTTGAAAGCGAAGCGAAGAAGTGACGTTCGGTCGTTCGATTTGACGGAAGAGTTGAGCGAGTCGAGCTTCGTCGAGCGAGTCGAGGGAGCGGAACCAGCTCGCGTCAGATGCCGCAGTAAGGCCTGGTGAGGCCGGACCGGAGCGAAGCGAGGCGGGGCGTTCGCGACGCGTCGAGTATCGGGCCGGCTAGACTAGGCTAGGGCGTCCGATCGAAGGGAAGCCAGCCCCGCTGGGCCGAGGGCGAGGAGAGGCGGGCCGGACCGAGTCGAGTCGACCGGAGAGCACTCTCGCGAGGCCGAGGGGCAAACGAAACCGAGCCGTGCTCACGGGTCGCCGTAATGGCTGCCGTGTCATGAAATGAAGGTGCCCCGTCGCTTTAGCCGTTCCACCATGGAGGATGTCTTCAGCCCGGACCTGCCCTCGAATAATGTCCGACAAACCTCGGCACCCGGGACGAGCGCGTCGAACGCCGACAACAAGCATCAGACCCAGGAGAACGACGCCCAGGGCGCCATCAAGGAACAGAGGCCGCAGTACTCCATGCCTGGCATACTGCATTTCATTCAACACGAGTGGGCCAGATTCGAGCTCGAGAGGTCCCAGTGGGAACTCGACAGGGCCGAGTTTCAGGTGCGACATCCTAGACCGTTAGGGAGGCGGCGAGTCGAATATTTTGACTCCTTACTCTCGAGTCGACTCGGACCATTTTTTTTTATTATAACTTGATGTTTCCGTACGAACAAATGCTAGTTATGAGTGCGAAACCGAAACACCGAGCTGTTAGGTTGTCCAGAAAATTATTACGGGTTTTGCTGATTTCACGCTTTGTTTCCAAATGTATCGTTTCCTTTATGTTCTTGTACTCGAGTTTGAAGCGCAGACCTCGCTCGGCATTTGTTATAACGATTGTCTTTTGCGTATTCATATTTATTTTCTTTTTTCACTGTGTCAATGGGCATAGGTCGTTTAGAATACTCTCGATCTTCGAGGGTCTCGTGTCTGCTATGGAAGGTTTGAAATTGCCGTTTCCTTTATGTTCTTGTACTCGAGTTTGAAGCGCAGACCTCACTCGGCATTTGTTATAACGATTGTCTTTTGAGTATTCATATTTATTTTCTTTTTTCACTGCGTCAATGGGCATAGGTCGTTTAGAATACTCTCGATCTTCGAGGGTCTCGTGTCTGCTATGGAAGGTTTGAAATTGCCGTTGCGTTGGGTGTTCGTTTGTGATTCCTGGGAAAAATGCATCGAAGATATGAGCTACCGTGGCTGCTTTATGATCTGTGTTGAGCTCATAGAAGAAGTTGAATTTCTTGTGATATTTAATCGCTAAGAGTATTGGTAAAGGTCACGAGAATTGTGGTGAAATTTTTATTGTTGGCAGTATCTCTAAAGTCATAAATAGTATCAATAGAAAACCAAAGGTATACGATATCGTCGGCAAGGAGTTATATCGAGTACAAAAAAATACTAATCCTTCTATTTTTATTCGAGGATACAATTGCACACAATAGGATTAGGATATTGGTAGTTCCTTGTATCTTTTTGTGTAGATAATCCATAGATGAAAGGAACAAAACTAATTGGAATGACCCAGCAATTTGAAAAGTGCAATTATTTAGCCTTTGTGTAGATAATAAATCACTTACCATACATAAAAATAAATATATAAATGTATGTATGTATATAATTTCAAGGAAGAATAGTTCAAGGTTGCATAAAAATGCGGTGTTAGAATAGATCAGGAAATACATTTCCTACATTTATCTATTCTGTAAAGAAGGTAGTTAACTTAATTGTTGCAAAAGATGGCACGTAAATAACTGTTGAACAATGATTTATAGAACAACCTTGAAGCTTTCTTTTATAGGATCTTTAATGGAATTTCTGATGAGTTATTACAGCATCTTATGGTTTATATAAGGACAAATAACGTTACAGAAGAAATTCTTAATTTTCTTTGGTTCAACATTCTACGATGCAATAATTTCATTATATAAATAATTTAAAGTGCAATGTGTCATAAATATTTTAGTAGTTCCGTGTTAACGACCCTACTGCAGCGACAGTCAATATGTTAATTTAATGTAAAACATTATCGATGCCTTAGGGGCATAATTTAAATTGGAGGAAATGTATAACGTGCCTCTTTAATTTGCAGGCCAGAATAGCTTTCTTACAAGGAGAACGAAAAGGACAGGAAAATTTGAAGAATGATTTGATACGACGAATAAAGATGTTGGAGTATGCACTCAAACAAGAAAGGTAAGACTTCTGTAGCATTTGCCATAAAACTAAAAACAAGACAAGATATACACATATATTTTAAACTTTTAAAATCAGATATTTTGACATTTCGAACTGTCGATAATTTTGTGCGGGCACCACTTTGAAATTAATTGCAATATTTACCGGTGATCCAACAATGTATGGAAAATACAAATTTAAGTAGTAAAAATCAAACCACCCCCTTTTATTTTTAATACATTACTTCGTTTAATAATGTATCAGACAATTTTCTTTTCTTTGTGGGCTTTTGGCGCGATTTTTATTCCCCTAGTGTTTTTCTATTTTCGGTACCTAAACATGCCTTTTTATTTGCACAGAGCAAAATATCATAAATTAAAGTACGGTACTGATCTAGTACAAGGGGACGTAAAGCCTCCCCTGTATGAGGAAAGCAGTACTTGCGGTGGTCCCATCGGAGGAGGTGGCGATGGGGAAACTCCATTCACGTCGGACATTATTAGCTGGAGGCAAAGTCGTCAGCTTCTTAGAAAGTGAGTACAGTTGTCACGTGGCATTCAAGTTTTGCATTCACGCCCAGGATGAGGAAAATTTAATCGACTTGCAAATGATGTTTTGTTTCAATATTAAATGAACGGTAACTCTTGAGCTAATGAGTAAAGGGAAAATGCGCATATGTATTCTGTTATCGATGTAACTGATATCGCAAAGTCAAGGGCAGTGTTTTTTTTTTTTTAAATATGCATAAAACTGCGAAACCTCAATTGCAGTGTCAGAACAATGTGTGCATCCGTTCGTGTGCCCTAAACTTTTAATGCAACGAGTAATCCTTTTATTGCAGATATTTACAAGAGATTGGATATACCGACACAATCATAGATGTACGGTCCAACAGAGTGCGAACATTGCTTGGATTAAATAACAATACAGATTCGGACGACATGAACACCCCCGCGTTAAATGGAAATGAGTCTTCTAATAAAAGAGCTAGTGAGAATCAGGGTCGGCGGGTCCCAGCGAAAAAGGTAGAGGTAAATAGTCATTCTACTTATTTCACTTTTATTATGCTTAAGAACACCAGCTATTGGCATCGAGACTCCTACTGGGAATTGCATTATTATGTAATTAAGGAACAGCACCACTAGCAAGTAGCGGCGAGTAGAATCGGCGTGGAAACTATAGTTTATTTTTCCGTACTCGGCCCTTGTTTTTGCGCTCGTTTGTGAATTTCGACACCGCCTTTGTAACCTTTGGTTTCGTAAGTACCTAGTTGCTTATGCCGAAGCTTAAGGTTATATCAAAGTGGTATCGGAGAGGTCAAATAGGTGTTCGTCATGTGAGGTGCATTTGAAGATTGCGCTTGAAATTCCTCGAGACGATGCTTTTCCCGTGTAACTTGTTAATGTCGAGGGGTCGTTGCTAATTCGAGTCGATGAAATTGACTGCTAAGCACGCGGTGTAATGTAACCGTGCACCGTTCAAGTGGAACATGCTTCGAGTACTCTGGCTTTGACGTGCCGCATGCTTGCCCTGCGGAGGCACTAATTTATGGACGATGCGTTTGCTGCACATCGCCACGAGTACGCGCGTTACGGGGTTTCACCGGCATTGTTTCTTTTTTTGCACGCTACTTACTATCTGGGGCTGCCTATGAAAGTCTCACTTCGGCATATCGCGGACTCGTTCTGTCCACCTCGCGTCTCCTCGATTAGAGGAGGACAGGACGAGCCGAGATTCGAAAGGACTTTTATTCCCGCGGAAGTTTCGGCGAGGAAACGGCGTAGCCGGTCACGATAACGCGGGTACATTGTTGCAGCAACAGCCGACATCCATCGCAGAAGCGATGATCCTCGACACGGAGGCTGCTGTCATGGCCAATTTTGAGTTCCTAGCTCAGACTGACATCGATATGGAGGAGGAGGAGGGAGACGTAGAAGAATTACTCTTTAATCCAAGTATAGAGACCAAGCAGAATAAGGTGCGTTGTTTCGGTGACTTTCCTTCGTGGATGAATTTCTTGGGAATCATGGCTCTTCTTACTTTACTAACAGTCGCCGGGAATTAATTGATTCGTACAGACTGTGCTTGTATTTTAATTCGTACGCGATGAACTTAACGAGTTTTTTTTCTCTTTACCTCTTTACGAATTTCCTTCCTTGGAATTTTTATTTTACATCGTGCGTCACGAATCGTGTGAATTTTTTATAGGTACGTGCAAGAAAGTAATTAGGTTTGTCGGGATTGCCAATTGTTGATCGAAAGAATTAGGAATTTGTTCTCTGGGTGGATGAGTCTGCATGACACGTGTGATATATCTTTACCGTTTAATGTTCTTAGGCGGCGTTACTGATACCAGAAGACTTGGACGCCGAAGCGGAAGAAGTATTAAATGAATTAAATCTATTGACGGAATCCTCGAGCGGACTGCCTTCCACTATGCGTCGCACTTATTGCTTCGACGTTGAAGAGGAATATGGTTAGTAAATCGGATTTCACTCGAAGACCGTGACGTATTACGGTCGTCAATGTTGCCGTTGTTTCGTCTTGACGATTTTTCATCAAAGACGATTCATATGTGGCGAATAAGTGTAAAACGTAGACCTTGTTACTTGTAGAACCTTTACCACCTAAAGCGGTCGCAGCTGATCCGCGATGTCCAGGTGACGAAGCTGATTCTACCTTGGGACTAGGGGAATTAGCTCAATTGACAGTCAACAATGATGCCGATGTAGCATATGATGTGAGTCCAATGCCATTCCGATGATCGTGTATGACTTATACGATGAGTACATATGATATATACTTCTCTTTCCCTTGTACTTAAAATAGTTTCTGAACTACTTTAAAGTTTTGTCGCGTGACGTAACAGTGCTAGATGCAGATATTAATTAATGGTATTATATGTCCGATACAGATGGCTGCGACCACAAAGGAGACGTTCAGGAAGACCTGGAATGCAAAGTACACTCTACGCTCGCACTTCGACGGTGTCAGGGCCCTCGTCTTCCACCCCACTGATCCCGTACTTATCACCGCAAGCGACGATCACACCCTGAAATTGTGGAATCTTCAGAAAACCGTTCCAGCTAAAAAGTAGAGTACAACTCTTTTCAAGTGCATGTCACTCTTAAAAAGTCGTTTTTAAAATTTTGAGGAAGATAACTAGATTGGATTGAACCTTTCAGATCGGCTTCGTTGGACGTTGAGCCGCTGTACACGTTCAGATCACACACGGGACCCGTGCTGTGTCTAGCAATGTGCAGCACGGGTAGCTGTTGCTACAGTGGTGGACTCGATAGCATGATCCACTGTTGGACTCTCCCTTCGGCCAACATAGATCCACATGACTCTTACGATCCCAGCGTACTCAGCCAAACGTTAACCGGACATACCGATGCCGTGTGGGGTTTGAGCATGTACCATCCGAGATCGCAGCTCCTCTCGGTGAGCGCGGATGGGACCGTCAAACTCTGGAGCCCGCAGAGCAAAGTACCTCTCCTCAATACGTACACTTCCGAGAAAGGTAGTTAAGAGCTATTGAACGTCCAAAACCTTTGTTTGAAACGTCAATCCACGCGTGACCAAGAGACACGGTAGCGTCTCACAAGTTTATTGGCGTTGAATACATCCTAGGGTCTTTGGCCACGATCTCAAGATATGAAAATGTTCTGGTAACTTATAGACAATGATTCTGAGGTTGGTTTTATCTTCCATTCGAATGGAGTCCGTGCATGGACCTCTAAGTAAAATGGTGTGTATAGGTCACCTCAAGGAAAATTAATCAGTTGAAGAGAACGGTGATATTTGAAGCAGGTCTTTGGTTATCCGTGGATTGGAGGATCTAGTGAGAAGCTAGAGCGGTGGTTTTTAATTGATATTAATTAGACGTCTATTTTTCTTCTAGATGGCATCCCCACTTCGGTGGACTTCATAAGGGACGAACCGCATAAGCTGGTCGTGGCGTACGAGGAGGCCTGCGTCGTGTTCGACGCCGAAACGGCTGCGATAGTCGCCCGGCTGGAAGGCAGCGGAACGACCGGCGTGAACCGCGTCGTCGCCCACCCGACGTTACCGCTCGTCGTGGCCGCCCACGAGGACAGGCACATCCGATTCTACGATCATCGCTCGGCCACTCTCGCGCACGCCATGGTGGCGCATCTGGACGCCGTCACTAGTCTTGCCGTAGACCCCCATGGCTTGTATCTGCTCTCAGGAAGTAAGTGAAGAAATGTTCTGCAGTTTCATCGGCCAGTTCTTGTTGGTTATGCTTATATCTTTATCCCCTGATTTTTGCCAGGGAACGCGTTCGCTCCTTTCTTGTATTTTATTTCTTGTCCGGGGAACACGTGTGCCATTTTGATGGCATAATCTATTTTTTATCAGGAAACATTCGCCGCTTTGTATCCCATGCTTGTCAGGAGACCCGCTTACTACTGTTAGTTCATTAATTGCCGGGGAATGTGTTCGTTGCTTTTTATTGCCTCTTTTCTTTGTTTCTTACCTCAGGATCATGTCTGTTATTTTTGGAAGTCCCTGTACGGTGCTCCCTCTCGCGGGGCGAGTGGGTAACTAAATGAGCCGTCCAGACGGGGTACTTGAACAGGGGTGGAAAAGGAAGGATAAGGGCTGTAGTTAATGTAATCGCTCTATCTCTTCCAGGTCACGACTGCAGTATAAGACTGTGGAACATGGACAACAAGACCTGCGTGCAGGAGATCACGGCGCACCGTAAGAAATTCGACGAGAGCATCTTAGACGTAGCGTTTCACCCGACGCGGCCGTTCATCGCGAGTGCCGGGGCGGACGCCCTCGCCAAGGTATTCGTGTGAGCAATAAACCCAGAAAGGACGACGTTTCTTATCTGTACCGTACAAAACGGTTTTTTGTACTCATGTTCTTTTTAGATAGTTTTACCTGTACGTACATAACACACACCCGCCCACACATACACACGCCCAAGCCCACACGCCTAGGTTTCGTTTTTATTTCTTCTTCTTCTTCTTTTTCTTCCCCCCTTAATCGATTTGCCGTTGACTATAGAGAGAGAGAGAGACAGAGAGAGAGAAAAACGGGGAGTCGCTCGGATGCTCGCGCGGCCATGGAAAGGACGACGATTCCGAGATTTTATCCAGCCGATCATTTAATCGAGCCTGTGTAAACGCTATTTGTTAATATAGTCGAGACTAAGTAGAGAGGAAGACGCCTAAATGGCGGGACCGCGAGGAGGAGAGAGAAAGAGAGCGGAGGGCCGTGTAGAATATTAATTTAGACCCGATTACGTAGACGACGGGATGGAATTAAATGGAAGGGACCTCCGATACGCAGAATCCAGGGAGCACACTGCCGTGGTAGCATAATATTTATCTTTACATTAACTATTTATTATACTGAAGTCACAGTTACTGCTGCACAGCTGCCGGGGAGGGAGGGAGGGATCGCGACAGTGGCGGTAATCAAAGAACGTCGTCGTCGTCGCCGTCGTCTCACGAGGATGTGCAAATTAGTCTCCCGTTACGTCGCACTCGTGCTAAATTCCACATTAGTTCAGGCCAGTATACGCTAATAACAAGAATAATAAATATTGATAACTCCTAAGTTAATTATAACGCTATGGACATAATACTAATAACAATAAATTATAACTGTGTGTTTCACTGTAATATATTGTATTTAAGAATAGACAACTGTGTACCTTAACGTAAACGATTTCTTCCGTCACTTGATGAAGGATCTTCATTTCTCGACACCCTTTTGTAGTCGCGGCCACTTTTTGCAAGGGCTACCGCGAATGGATCCGAGGGGAGAGCGTGTGGAAACCATATTTTCGTAATGCCGCCGACGCCAGGCGATCCGTTCGGCCGGCGAGTCGAGATGATTAATTTAAGTTACTTTAGAGGAGTATCCCATCCCTTTTCGTTCTTTTGTATGATATTTCCTTTAATCGACGACGGACTTTATAAAGCATTAAAGAATATGTATTGAGAACGGCATTCTTATGTAATGGTGTATGTATTATTATTAGTACTATTGAACAAAAATACAGTCTACGTAAAACGTCACGTAGTCGTTGACTTACGTACCTCTCCCCGACTATATCGGTTGACATATTCTGGGTTAATAATTTTTTTTATTGAATTAAATCATTTACATATGTACAGATGGAGTAAGAGCAGCGATACATTTAATTTGACAGGATTTTCGCAGTTGTTTCAAAGTTTCATAATGTAATATTTTGAGGGAGATTAAGGTTAGCGCATAGAAACTAACGGGAAATGTGGAATCGTTAGGTGATTTTTAGTGTTTTGAGTTTGAGATAGCGTACTACTTGGCTTGGGCTTCCTTAATTGGCACTATTCATTCTTCCATTTATCATCCCTCTCTCTCTCTGCGCGAATTTTCTGTATGTTCCTCATCTTATGCGATAGAACATCTTTCGGTGGTACCATAGCTGCCGCTACAGACCGATTATCGGCATTTAAGAAATTAAACATTTTACATGCTTGCGAAGTAGTATGTATTTCAAATGACACGTCTAGGTTTTTTAATATCGTTCGTACATTCTCCAAAAATGGAGCTTTATGGGGATATTTATCGTCCAATCCAATTACCATTATATCAACTTGTGGATACAGTACAGAAAACAATGCAAAACTGTCCTCGTTCATGTGTTCAGAGGAAGCAATGTTCCAATTTAGAACAGTTTTGGGAAATATTATCATTGGACCAATGACATTTATACCATTGTTTAATTGAAATCCTAACTGTAACAAATGATTCCTTTGATATAAGATTATCTTTGGTGAACTATTACTGTGTTATACATACCACACTGCAGCCATCTATCATAAGTCCATAAGAATAATCTATGTTCAAGACCGTTGCGGTAGTTTTCCCTTCGCCTTCGTAACCTTTCAAGAGCGATGCAGTATGCAATTTACGAACACTACCAGTATTCCTGTAGGAAACAGAGTAAATTATGACATATAAATAAACACGTAAAGAGAATTTCAGAAAATCTCAAAAGCTGTATAATTTCATGCAATCGTCTCTTACTTGACAACTTGAATTGAGCCGTATCGAAGAAGCCTGCTTAAAAACTGTGTCATCTTGTACTTCTCATTACATTCCAATCAATGTTTTTATTAATCTTCTCTTATAAAGTCTTAATTATAAGGAGTACGTTTAACCCTTTAACACCGGCAATGTCGACATTGTAGGTCACTTATTTATCGCCAGGGAGTAGATGGAGGAATCGTTCGAAAAATAATTTGAGGTCCTACCTTCGTGTACTGCCCTCAGGCGGAGTTCCACATAGCTTATACATACTTGCGTGTAAACAGTGAACCCAATCCGCGCTATTTTCAATCGACGTTATCAACTGATACGTGAATCCTTAGAATTCCATATTATGTTTAAAATCGAAGAAAAAGAAAAAAAGAAAGCGTCTATCGGCAGAGATGAGTTGGCAGATGGCTCACGGGCAGGATCGTGCGATCGCATCCGGTGCTGCCCTCTGGTTTCGTACATTAGCTTTCACCGTTTATCGCCCCCAAGGGCAACGCAACGAATTTCTGATAGGAGCCCGCGCACTCGCGATGGCGGTACCATTTATCAATCGCCATTGGCGGTTCACGTACATACTTAATAGAAGTGGATAAGTAAATAAAGTCAAATGGAGCGTCACGAGTGTTCTTCCCTTACCATCAAAAGCGAGCAGTGTCGGTAAGCGTAGGTAAGCCACCACGGTCAATTGCCGCATGGTATTACCATCACGAGTACGTGAGCCGCCAACGACGACTGGTAGATGGTACCGCCATCGCGAGTACGCGAGCTCCTATCAGAAATTCGTTGTGCCGCCCTTGGGGGCAAAAAACGGTGAAAGCTAACATACGAAACCAGAGGGCAGCACAGGTTGCGATCGCACGATCCTTCCCGTGAGCAATCTCCCAACTCATCTCTGCTATCGGTTGCGTTAAAAGGACGGCGCAGTGGTACACCTCTCTGCGCCATGTTCCACGGAATAAGCCACCCTTTAAAAATGGCGGACGCCGCGCATCAATCCGCTCGCCATAGGTCGTGAACGAGTCCTCGGAGATCGAAGAAAATGTTAAATCCGTCCCGAAAGCCGTACCGTTTTGCACTAGTATGTAACCAATTGCAAATTCCTCGTGGACGTTCGTTCGCATCATAGGCAACGGCGAGATACGGCGAACACGGGTCGCGCGGCCGCCATTTTGGTAACACGTCGTACCAGCCTTAAGATTTAAAAGCCCGGCGGGCCGCGAGATCGATCTCGGCCCGGTTCTCGAGATCCCTTTGGCGTCCGCGGCGGCGCAACTCTGGTGTCAGTGCGTCCGAGGGCGAGGAGAGAGTCGTCTCGAGTCGCCTGGGAGATCGCGGGCCATGCTCCCGCCGGCGGCGAGCGGTCCCGGGCGCGATCGATTGCGCGTGTCACGCGACGCGCGGCATCCGGCGGCGCGACGGGGAAGCCAGGGGAGGCCGCGGTGTCTGTGTCCGAAAAATGGCTGCCCCACGGGCGCTCCGTGAGGGCCGACCGAGTGCGTCGTGAGGACCGCGCGAGTGCCCGCCGAGTAGCCGAGACCGCACCGGGAATGGCGGATCCAGTCGCGTAGCCGGTCATCGGTGCTCCGCCGGGAGCAGGTCGCGACTCGCTCGCGCGCGGGTGCTCCGTGCCCGAGGGGACGAGGGAGCGAGCGAGAGGGAGCGCGGCGGGGTGGGCGAGTGAGAGAGAGAGGTCCCGAGAGAAAGGCTCAGCCGAGCCGGACGGGGACAGCGGCGGAAAGGTGAGGCGGCGCGAGCTGGCCCGGAGCCGTCAGCACCTAGCAGACGATATTGTTAGTAAAAATAAAATGTCATTATATTTGGACCGTTTCGGTGAGCGCGTGTCACCGGGGGCGGGGGCTAGGGGCCGAGGGCGAGGGGGAGATGCACCTTAGCCTCGCGACGCACCGAGGCGAGCCGATAGTCGCGGTAATCGGGGGTAATCGGGTGTCGTCGGGCCTCTCTTCGTTACTCGTGCCCCCTGGCCTCGTGCGAGCCAGGCTCCTCCCGGCGACGCCCGGGAACTCGCCGCGCCGAAAACGCTCCTCGAAGCTTCGAGGGCGCCGCGTAGGCCGTGACTCGCGAGCCTCGATCGTGACTCTCGCGATTTTCACGAGTCGCGAATCGAGATTCACGCCGAGGCTCGTCCCCCGGCGCTCGGCTGCACCCTTCGCTCGCACGCAATCATGGCTGCCTAGCGCGGGGCGCTTATCGACCGATTTCGCCCCGTCGAGTCGCTCGACGACGGTGCGGAGTTATAGGTTAAAAACCTCGTGCGTGGGCTGCGGGGCGTGTCGGGACCGTCTCGGGAGATGAAAGTCTGACAGCCGGGACGTCGTCTGGACTCGTTAGTTAACGCCGATCCGGGGGGCCATGGAATCGACTGTAAGCTGATTCGATTTTACAGACACCCGACTCTACCTGGGGAACCGATACCGAGGCATGTAGGCGACGGGAACACGGACCGGAATAACAACAACACCATGACGAGCGAGGACCTGCTGCAACCTGGACACGTCGTTAAAGAGCGCTGGAAAGTGGTGAGTCTCTTCTTCCTTCGGCTGCTCCAAAAGAAAGAGACATAGAGGTGCCGGAGCGCTTTGGATTTTCTGATTTATGTTCACCCTGAATGAATTCGGAGCTCCGAAGTTGTGTAGCAATTATTTGAATACTTAGACTAGTACTCGTATCTTACCATTAGGGTTAAAAGATGTCTTTTAATTGTTTAGAGACTGTGGATAAAAAAGGATTCAAACGATAAAAACAAGGGATGAGTTTCGGCTTTAGAATCATAGCTAGATGTCGAGGAGGATTAAAAATTGGTTTCGTCGACTGGGATTGCTATATCGTTAGTTAAATATGATTAGGTAATCACAATTTAATACTGTGTGCTGATCTGTGTAGCACAATATGGCAAGGGGGTATCAAATGGCAAGAGAGGGAAAAGGTCGTCTCTCGTTTGCCTTCTTTTATTCTTGTTGCCTTTACAGGGATATTAAGAGAGTGATCGGAAGAGGGGAATTCATATTTCCTATGTCCGTGGGTTAAACATATTATTAAGAAACCATTGTTAATTAATTAACCAACTTCATCCTATTAATACTTAAATCTTAATTGAAATGGTGTTAAAATTAATGTGCAACGGTGTTGCAAATGGTTTTCTGCCAATCAGAAAACGATGGATGTGATATTCATCTATTTAATTAGTTAATCTTCATTGAATATTTGGTGGTTGGTACGGAGATTGAGTTAACCTATGAATAAATTTGAATCCTAGATTAACTAATTTAAATTAGCTATATTAATGGAGGTTGGTGCAACCGAGCATTAATTACTGTGAGGTAATTTGTGGGTTATCGTAATTGCTTCGGAGCATCACTACCTTGGTTAGGAATCATCCAAGCTTCAAACAACTGATTACTGCCGTTTCAATAAATAAGAGAAACGAATATTTTTAATATTCTCATTTTTCGTTTCTCCCTATTCTCCCTTTCGTCATTTTTACTGGAACTTCAACAGTTTTTCTGGAAGTTTGCTTGAAGAGATAATTTTTTTCACGTCATGTTTATTCAATGTTTAAGGTGTATTATTGTAAGCACCGGTCTACGTGAAAAGTGTTTGCTTTGGTTATTTTTACCTCTCTTTACATAGCTTTTCTATCTTTATCCTTTTTATGTTTCGAGTGTGTAATGAACATCAATTATTAATCAAGGCTTTGAAGAATTATTTTTACATTGACGGACGCTGATTAGGCAATCAATCTAATCAAACCTAGGCCAAGTCCATGCTTGACGTGTCAATGCAGTACTTTAATGGGATTGGTATGAGCTTTTACGGATCAATGGTTGGGAGGTGGTCAATGCAGAATGTAGTGACACATTTCAAACGTTACTTACTAAAATCTTTTTTTATTTTTTATTTTTTTAGGATCCTTACATTTTTTTTTCTAGTGGAAAAGTCATTTTTGATGTCCATCCTACAATGTATCGTTTTCAAGCTATAAATCCAAGCTATAAATAAAAGTCCAAGCGACCTGTGCGTGTGCAGAGCTCGTATATTTGGGATTCCAGTTCTTATACAACTTTCTGTAAAGAAAAAGAAGACGATTCTTTTATATCTATTTTTATTTCCCGTTTTTTTTTGCAGACGCCTTCCTGCAATTTTGAAGCAAATTATTGATCTTTATGACGCGGGATAATGCGGTATTTTGATATATATTGTTCTTTGTTCGCAGCTCTTATGTTTAATAGGCTTCGAGGATGACTTTTTTGTCATTCATGTTTATCGATATAATTCCTTATTAACAAACACGAATGAATTATTAAATTGTTTCAGCCTACTGTGGATTCTTAATGGAGGTGTCAATTAATTTGTTGTCCGTACATTGATTTCAAGGTTCTTGGAAATATGGAGAGCGCTATACCTTTCTGGCTTTGTTCGGAGATAAATTTATTTCAGATCGATGATAAGACATACTTCACTTGCATTTTAACAATTCGTATCAGTGAACGGGGAGATCACAATCGATACTGATTCTGTATTGTCCGCAGTGGAAATAGTAACACTCTGGAGATAAGCAATCCTGCAGAATGTTCTTCGAAGATCACACTTTACGATCCACTTTTGCATGTTGGATTCCATATAAGGTCACGCGATTTATTCAAAATGCAGGGCGAGCAAGTAATTGAAAATCGGCGAATGGTTTCTCATTACAAAAACTCGATTCCTTAAACGGATTGCTGAATCCACAAAAGTATTTCCAGTTCTTATACAGGGTGACGCGCCGAACCCTACCACCTGGGATTATGTGATTGCGGGATGATTTTGGCTGACAAAATTCAAATGAAACAGCCTGTATAATGACAATTTATATGAGTTCACTGACAAGCAGATTAAAATGTTTCGATATGATTAGGTATACGAAGTAACGGAGTGCAAATATGTAGGATATGCTTCGAAGAATTATGTAACGAGGTGTTAGGAATTTGGTCATAATTTGTAATTAATAATCGTTCCTATCTATTGTGACACAGATGAGAAAAATCGGCGGGGGTGGATTCGGAGAGATCTACGAGGGCCTAGATTTAATGACGAAAGAACAAGTTGCTCTGAAGGTGGAATCTGCCCGTCAACCGAAACAAGTCCTCAAGATGGAAGTGGCCGTGCTTAAAAAACTTCAGGGTAAATCATCCAATTAAATAGTTGCTCTTAAGGAGGGATAATTGTACCGGTAATTATAAATGTGGTTTAAGTAAAAGAAATATTTTGAAATATGGACCTATCCCATATTTTGTGTTGAATTCATTTAAGTTACAACAATGAGTTGAAGTTTGTTTCATAATAAAGGGAAAAGGGCTTTAGGTCAACTTTCATAATCATCGGCACAATTGGTAATGAAGTATCGATTTCATCGGTGACTGTTTTTCTGGCACCGATCAGTACCTGTCAGATCAGCAAACGACTGTATCGACGTTCGGATATATGCTTGCAAATTTGGCGTCACATGAGCCACTCCACGTTTTTCTTGGCAGTGTTTCGTGCTGAGCGGAACAATCCTTTTATGCTTCAGGTAAAGAACACGTTTGCAGATTCATAGGCTGCGGACGTAACGACAGATTCAATTACGTCGTGATGCAGCTGCAGGGGAAAAATCTGGCGGAACTGCGCCGCGCGCAGCCAAGAGGTGCCTTCTCGCTGTCGACCACTCTGCGACTCGGTCTTCAAATCTTGAAAGCAATAGAGAGTATACACCAAGCGGGCTTCCTTCATAGAGACATTAAGCCGGTATGTATTTACCATTAAGGCGAACTTATTAATCAGTTAGGATCATCGATAGTGTATCACTTAGATTCAGACCATCGATATCATCAAATACTATGACTTCGCTGCTATGATTAAATAACTTTACATAACTCGTAACCCTTACTTTTGCCTGCGTACTCTTTTCTTTTTCCTCTATAATCATTAAAGTCAAAGATTTAGACGGCACGATTTTGTTAAATGGTATTTAACATTAATTAGCGAAATTAAGTGGTACGGTTGATTTGTGAATATGTGAAGCGGAAACTGTTTATGAATCTTTGGGTCAACAAAATGGCTGTCTATGTATGCGACTTGACGGTACCAGGATGAATACTGTATACGCTTCGTTTTAGACCTAAACTCGTGTTCACAGTCAAATTTTTCAATCGGGCGTTATCCATACAACACCAGGATGGTATACATGTTGGACTTCGGTTTGGCTCGTCAATTTACAATGGCCACCGGTGAAGTGAGGCCCCCTCGAACAGCGGCAGGATTTAGAGGAACCGTCCGTTACGCCTCGGTCAATGCTCACAAGAACAAGGAGATGGGAAGACACGACGACTTGTGGTCCCTGTTTTATATGTTGGCAGAATTCGTCAACGGGCAGCTTCCATGGCGTAAGATAAAAGATAAGGAGAGGGTGAGTTCACGTATGCTATACGACTGTCCACAGAGTCAGGGTAGAGCGGAAAAGTAACCTCCCCGTTGAATTGAAACAATTATTGAAGTGATAATTCACGTTACACTCGTGTACTCATCTCGCATTTATTTCTTTTTTTGTTTCATGCTCAACAGGTTGGATTAATGAAGGAGAAATGCGACCACCACGCGTTACTTAAACACCTTCCGTCTGACCTCAAATTGTTCCTGGAACATATTCAGGTGCGGCGATATTGATCATAACGATAGAGCGGTTTTGAGCGGTGCATTTCGTTGATGAACTAACTAATATGTGATTTCATTGTCAACAGAGTTTGGGATATGCCGACAGGCCTGATTATACCATGCTAGCCGGTCTGTTGGAGAAGTGTATGGCACGCAGAGGTGTGAAGGCGAGCGATCCTTACGACTGGGAAAGGCCTTTGATTGCGAACGAAGGACTTCCGACGACCAGGTCGTTACCCACCGTCACCGCACCTCCAGCACTCACGACAGCTACTACGATCAATCATCCGCCAACGACACCCAATTTGGATACAAACAATCAAGAAAACGTCGAACCTGACAACAGAAAAGAGTTAGAAGTAAGTCAAACCATTGAATTGAACAGCTTCACTTCATCGCGGAGGGAGATCGAGTTAATTTAGATCATTAAGGCCTCTTTAAACCTAGACTTGAACTTTATCAACGAGTACTATCGGTACCGTTTTGCGTGTTTCAGGCACAATTTGATTTAGAAAGTATATGCGCGAGAAACCGTCAGAGGAGGATAGAGGGCTCCCCTGTTCCGTTCGCCTCGGCGATCAGTAACCACGGCCGGGACAAGAATTGCAATGCAACGATTCCAATTACGGATAACACGCACCAACAGAGCGGCCAACAAGTCGCAGCGACACCGCTTGTACAAGGTTGGCGAGACAGTTTGTCTCTATTCTTTTATTTTTAGTTAAGATCTTTGATTTTTAGACGTGGACTTGTTTTCTAGTTTCTGTGTAATTAAGTGAAAGTTAACCGATTTATCGCACTGTATAGGTTCGCCAAAGAAAAGGCGTGCAGTATCGATGGCCGTGGAGCCGCAGTCACCGGCTACGCCGGCGGAGAAACAAGTCGATAATGAAGGGGACGCACTCATGGCGTCTGCTCGATCTGCGTCCGAAGTTCCTCGAGTTAAGTCGGTTGCCAATGCTGCGGCGCCTCTTCGCAAGTCCGCGAGCGGCGCCACTTTCGCTCGCCTGCGAGTGATGGCAGCACCGGAAGCTGCTTCCGGCGAACCGCCGAGTCCACGGATACAGACGGAAGCGGATGCTTCCTATTGTTCGTACGACGTAACGAACACTAAACATGTAGGAAACCAAAGTCCGGTGAGTTTCAAGATTCTTGGTGGATTTGAGGTAGAATTAAAGTAGAATTAAGGTGGAATTAAGGGAGTCATGGATTAACTTGATTTCCAAGATTTGACCATGTCAATATAGCATGTCTTAAAGGTTAAGAGTGAAATATTAGTTTATTAATATAATACACGGTTTAAATATCTGTTGGGGAAAGGCTGAAATCAAAGTGATATCAGTCGTTCAATTACATGATAGAGCTTCGGCACATAACATAAAAGTTATTTTCCCTTGTTTAACTGTAGTTGACTAAACTGTCAGTGAGTAATGTTACGATTAAATGGTTCTGCATCTTTTTTTTTTAACATAATTAACCAGTCAACTGATCATCATAATTCTGGGGAGTGTATCGTAACTGAGAAAACATGTCGCAGGTAACGGAACAAAGGCAAGCATTGAAAAGGGACCTCAGAAGACGCACTGAGACGCGGCAGCAAGGAAGAGGTCATGCGGCGTTGCGGGATTGTTCCATCACACAGTTTGCACAAATTGACGACGATAATGTCTCAGCTCTACAGCAAGTGACAAGAGGTGGCGGTGGACTAACCCTGGCATCGCAGTGGAAGTCGCAGTTCGATGACTCGGAGGAGACCGACAACGAATGGAAAGGGGAGAACCTGCAGAGTCCGGAGCACAGAACCACGAATCCATCGGCGATAATTCCGCAGGTAACGATGGAGACGAATATACCTTGCGGAGAAGGTCAGACATGAGTAGAATATGTCGGTTCCGTGTTACGCGACGTAAGGAAGCTTTTAACGTCGGTGTTTTGGTGATCCCGGCAGAGTTTGTTTGTACTTTTTGTTAACGAGATGCGATGGTCCAGTGCCAACTAGAACGTCCATTTTAGATGACCCTTGAGCCCGGCGTGTATTCGTTTTGCATGAAGTCCAGGGTGGCCCGTAAGTCGCTTTACCGTTTAAACATTTAATAACGTTTTTGGCATTAATTTCTTTCATTTTTGTATTAGACATTGAAAGTACGTTCCTTGGAGATTTATTATACCCATGGCTAGAACTACGGTGCAACTAATAAGGCAGATTTAGAAAGAGCGAATAATTTCACGGAACTCGGGCTTTAATTAGCCTCTTGGCATTTTCTTGACTATTCGTAACATGTTTGACCCCAGCGCTTGGATTTTTTCATTCGATCCTTCGTTAGTGATAAAGAAAAAAAATCTCTTGTGCCGTCGAATTGGAAGAAAAGAAGATTAAATTTTACAAGATTATTCGCTCTTCAAGAATTCTCGTCATAGCAGCTGCATTGTGATTCTGGCCGGGTGGCTATATTAATCTCCAGGAAACAGTTTTTAATATCTGTAACAAAAATTTGGAAAAGATTAGGGCGATGCGAAAGTGGTGTCATAGAAGTTTATGAAACTTCTCCCCGAACTTAGTATACCGAATCGTTTCAAACTCTACAACATGAATATGGAAGTTATAAGACAGATCTTGACACCCATGAAATTCCAATTTTTAGAAAAATTTGTAGGCATTTTAAAAATTGGTTTATAAAAATTGAAATTTCATGGGTGTTAGGATCTTCGTTATAGCCTCCACATTCACGTTGAAAAGTTCGAAACGACTCGGTACACCCAGTTCGGGGAAAAGTTTCATGAACGAAACCTCGGAGGTATTTTCACATCACATCACCTTAATGTCAGGAGGGTTATTCAATTTTTAAATCCACTAAGCGATTTATACGCCGCTTTGTAGTCATGCGAGGCTTTATTAATTATGTTGAATTACTTTGTTTTCGTGATGATTGACGGTAGTTTGTGTTTGATATTCTAGCCACGTCTGGCCTGTATCGGCATCCTCGCTTCACACCTCTCTCACGCTGATGCACTGCCAACCCAAGCTCTGACTGCGACCGCTAAAAGCCTGAATGCCCGCACTAGTCCTTCACTTTTTAAGTTATATACTTATTATCATACGCGCGTACACGGGATTTGATTTGCTTTTTTAATCGACTCGACGAACGCATCGGCACGAGATCGCTACGGGATGACCAGTAGAGTTACTTACAGTTTGGTTGCCTTTTGATTTTAGTTTTTTTTTTCGGCCATTCATTAACGTTCATCCGCATTATCCGGCTTCCGAGTCTCCTTGTGACATTTATTTATTTTTATTCGCGCAATCTACCCTGGCCTGCTTCATTTTAAATGTGACAATCCTTTGAAAATTGCAAGTCGTGTCAGATCGAGAGATCACATTACTTTTTTTTTTCCCCTTGTAAATTTATCATAGTCTTCATTTCAAACGTCTTCGAGCTTGAAAATGACACGATTTGTTCAATGCGAGTTAATGATATCAAATTATTCATGGAGACGAAGGATATGGATGAGAAGAAATTTTTCATCGAAACTGATTATCGAATTGAACTTAAAGCTGCACCGATGAACTCGTGGAAAATCATTAGTGGGAATGAATTTCTTGTATAGTCCAGACAGAGACGGGCGTGAAGTCACAGAGTACAAAATTTAAGTCATTTATTAATTATAGATTACAAGTACTTGCTATTATATGTACTTAAGTCGGGTATAATGAATCTATTAAGTGTAATATTTAGTTATCGATTGGCTACGGACCTATGTTGGTCTTGATGTCTCATCGATACTCACTCGATTGAGTTTGTATCGATAATGAGACTCATTTAATTTGATGTGATAACATTACATTCATTTTAACTTTTAAAAAGTTGAAGATGTAACGATATAAATTCCGATATATAATAAATTATTTGTATTTGAGATCGAAAAGATTTATGAACGATAAGTGAGAAGAGGGATGAGAATTAAGGGAAAGTGTTGTTATCGCTTGAAAAAAGAAAAGTGTCACTGCTAACGCAGTCGGAGTTTGGAAAAGGGAGATGCATTATTGGCAACATTTGCATTCCGGACTGCATAGTCGATATAAGGTAAGCATTCGACAAATTGGGCAATTATTTAAAACTACAATAATACAAGGAACGGGCGAAAGGGGTTTCGAGTGTGAAACACCCGAGATAGAAGCATGCTCGAAGAAATGAGTCTACGTTATCACCTGCTGAAGATGCAGTATTATTGGCACAAACTGTAAAAGGTCAAGCTGCACGACCGAAGGTGTGCCAAAAAGGAAGTGTTTCTGGCACACCTTTTGAAGACACTGCATTCCACATACACGGATAACACACTACAATAAAACAACATCTAGATTTATAGACAGTACATCGTTCAAACTGAATTAATTTCACAAGGAATTGCCCAGAATCAATTGATCGGGCTTAATCAAAACATACTACGATTCATTATTTCTGTCTCCGAAAGTCTTGATGGATATTATTTTTCTCATTCAATTATTAAATTTACTCCTCCCAAGTCGAACTTCGTCTTTTCAGTTATGCTCTCCGAGCTTCATTTATCACTTTTTAAGTTTCCATCTGTCATCCGTCCGTCATTAATTAAGTTTCTCTTTCGTTGATCATCGTTGTAATCGCAAGGTTTATTTTTAGGTGTCTCACATCGCCATTCAGGTTCGCGCGCAGTTTCACTCGTTTACTTTGCCAGTTTCATCCGCTATTGCAGAGCACTATTAATTTCTGCTTCGCAGCATCTCCCAAGAATGTTCACTGGTACAGATCCAGGAATCGCACATAGGAGTCCCGTTCTCGAAACGAGTTTTCTCTTTTAAATTAAGGTGATGCGAAAGGTGGTGTTTGCCAATCGGTGACGGTTAAGTACCGCATATACACATATCTTAAAAATGCATTAATCTATTTCCTGAAATTTAACCACATAATTAAAGGCACCTATACCGTTCCTGATCCTCAAAGAATTGCACTTTTTCAATCAAAATCTTATTAAGTTAACTTAAGCCGGAATCAACTTTGCATCCTTATCACATATTTTGCTATTAGACCATAAGAGCATCAGGAATCATTCTCTATAATTTAAAATATGATAACAATCAAGTTATACAGTCAGACCCGAGAAAAGGGGAATGAACCTCGGTGACATCTGTTTCAGATTGTATTCAGCTAGAGTTTATTTTGCAAGATGATAATTAATTATCTCGGCACCTCTCGCGTCACCTTAAACGCATGACACGCAGTACAGGATTTAAAGCGTTTCTCGTAACTTCGTCGTCATCTCGTTATTTCGTCGTCGAACTCAATCGGTCGCGGCTTTCCGGGGCTTCCTTCTCCTCTGCTTTCTGCCAGAGTCGCCAGGTACGACGAGTAAAACGTTCAGTGTCCAGTCCACAGTTGGTAGCGAGGTCGTAGCAACGCCGGCGTCGACGGGTGAGCCCAACGAGGAGAAGACGGCGGCGCAGCAGCAACCGGCTACGACGACGCCGACCGCTCAGACCGCGCTCTCGCGGATAAGTGAGGACTCACCGAGACCGACCTCGCAGACGCCGCACAGATGCCTGAACATCGCCGGCATCGAGAAGTACCCGGAGCTCCAGGGTGTCTTGCCTCGGGCTTGGAGCGTACCGGCGCTGGCGCCGCACGTTCGTGGCCATCTTGAGGCACCTTTGGTTCGTTCGATATATACTCCTTTTTTTTTTTAATATATTTTTTTTCTGCTTTCAAGGTCTTAGTAAAGCAAAGTTATTTGAACATTTACACGTCCTACACTGGAAAGAAGGAGAGTTAACTGAAACAAGTATATATCGTTAGTAAATGTTGTCTGTATCGTATATAACTACAAAGGAACCATCGTGTCGTTGAGAAGAAAAAATTGATATTGATTTAAACTAATTGTTGCGTTGATTTAAAATAATCTTCTTTACTCAGCTGACCATTACTTTGGACGCGTCTGATCGCAGGATTTCGTTGTCGCAATGCATATTTCATTGTGTTAACTTGCTTTTCTTTTTTTTTCTCAGTGTATTTAACACTGGTCTCGTAATTACTGGTGTTAAGCAAGTGTAAACGCTGTTTTACGCCGTGTCTCCATGTTTTCACAAAATGTGAAAATGTGAATAATGTAGCCGAATACCCGCTGGGAATTTCGCGCGATTTCTTTTTTACTCTGACGTCACAATCCAACATGGCTGACTTGCCTTTACTGGGTCTTTGAGATACTCCGAGACGTCGATTTGGGCTCCTTGACGAACTGAGGTGTGGTGGTTGAGTAAGATGGCGGGATGGTTGGAACAGATGATCATTCTAACGAATAATTGTCATTTCTTTAAAAAAGAGGACGTGGAGAATAGTCGAGATCTTCGAACACCTCCCTGGCTGTATTTACTGCGATAAAGAATCACACTTGTAAGACTCCCGCTGGTTCTTGAATCTGATTGGCCAGGCGCGCCACTCCCGTGTCGTATCTTCGATCTGATTGGTTGATTCAAACAGGCCGAGCCTGATCCGCCAATGCGATCACCGATTCCCTTACAAGTCTGACACTTCATTCACCTGTACTAAACTTAACAAGACACAATCTCAGCCTTTGATCAGAAATCGTTTACGAAATCGCTGGTTGATAAAAATCGATAAATATGCGGTCTAAGTTCATGTGCAACCGTTATAAATACATAAAAATAGAATTTTCGTGGTTTCACTCGATGAAGTTGCCACTCTCATGTTACATTTCTATGGAGGTAACATGCCCCTCGCAATCCTTTTTTCATTCTATTTTCGCACTTGGAGAAATGGGATGTAAGAATGTCGAGTATTGATTTTAATTAATCGCTGGATTTTAAAATGGTTCCTTGAATGATCGTCGCCTCTGGTTCCAGGTCCAACAGGCAGCTTTCGACGATTCATTGTACAAAGTCGACGTGATGAGGAATATTGCCACACGAGACGACGAGCCGAAAGAGAGTCCTCCGGCGAGGCGGGCGAGTGTCCCCGCGGTTGCGTTCGCCTCGATTAGCACGGCTCCCGAAACTCCGGTCGGCGACGAAGAGGAACAAGCAGTCGCGGGAAGACTGGAAATCAGAGTAGTGGATGCCACTGGCGGTGCCACGGTCGTACAAACCAGCGCCGACAAGGAGCCGTTGCAGAGTACGGAGAAAAGACACTCCTTTAGCCTAGGATCTCAAACGCGGTCGAGGTTCTCGCCAAGTACATGGAGGACGTGAATGCCTCCCCTGCAGATATGGCCAGTATAGTGAGAAGGCATTCACCTCTGGCAGCTCGATGCCAAGGACTAATCCATGCACTAATTTCTAAATTAGTGACCTGGCGCGAAACTCTACCGAGTACCCCGATTTATTGGGTTGGCAACTAAGTGATTGCAGATTTTTTAATGCCATCTATCGACAAAATCCGCAATCATTTAGTTGCTAAGCCAATAGTTAAACTATGAAAGTGTTTATTTTTATTTAAACTCTTATATCTCAGACGTCACTTTGACGTCATTTTAAGGGGATGTGAAAGTGACATCTGAGGGAACAATTGTTCGTAAAACTTTTTTCCGAACTGGGTGTATCGATTCGTTTCAAAACTTACGACGTGAATATGGACGTCTATAAGGAACGTCTCAATACGCATGGAATTAAATTTTTGATAACAATTAAAAAATATCTATAAACAAGTTAGAAAAAGGAAATTAAATTTCACGGGTGTCAGGGCCTTCCTTAAAGCATCCATATTCACGTTGTATTCTTTGAAACTATTCGATACACCCAGTTCAGAGAAAAGTTTCATAAACGAGATCTGTGTGTCGCCACTTTCTCGTTACCTTAACTAGTGTATTTATCTCTATGCAATTTTGGAAGTATGTATATTTCCATGTTGGTAATTAACGCGTGTAATTTAATAAGTCTTTTTCGCGATTTCAGGGAAGTTGACGAATGGCACTATAGGTAGTCCGGCGAGTCCAAATCCTGGACCGGAGGAGTCTTCGGTGTATTACGATGCCACGGAGAATCGCGCCCCCTCGAACGGAATGCCGAACGGAACTCTGGGGAACGCGTCGACTGCGACTACCGTTCCAAGTGCCATGCCCTTGCGCGAACACAAGGACAATAATAAGGAAAAGGAGGCTCCTGCCAGGCCGCATGTCACTTACAGTAAAATACCGGTGCCGGTCAAAAGTCCCAAGTGTTCACTATCCGAGTCCACGCCGGATACGAACACGTTAAATACCAAAACCGGGACCGGAAGTGAGCCTGATAAGTCTCCAGCACCGACAATGCAATCCAAAGATAGAGATACAGGTTAGTTTAAGCCTATGAGCATGAAGTAGCATAAGAAGCTTCCACTCTACGAATTTACTGTGTAAAAAATTCTGACTCCATGTTTCCTTTTCAAGGTAGTCGATTGCGATACTAGCGATCCTTGCGGGAAAATGTAACGCGATTATCCAATATGGCGGAGCTTAGAATATGACTCAAATATGGCACTATTTGTGGATAGGTGTAAACACAGTCGGGGGTTACCGGTCTTGTTTTTATTTATTAATATTTGTAAGGTGTTTAGTAGGTGTCTCGGTGGTTAATAAGTGTTTTGGGACTATCGTGTATTTTTAGACGTGGCGATTGTTTTGAAAGTTTGAAAGGGTTCCATTTTTCCGCCAGAGCCACTCGTGTCGCCGTTGGCTGATTTGGCACGAAATGTGGGGTTAGTTTTAGTTTCATATCGACGTGGGAGCTTCTTTAATTACTTCGTGGCGAGCGTTTTTTCGTTCACTTTTTGAGAAAACTCGAAAACTGCTTTGCTTCGTTGTGTCAAACTGAAATGTCACGATGAAGCTGGGGTTTGGAAATTCTAGCAGACGCAGAAAAAGTTTAATTTTGTTCCCGAGTAGAATAGTGGTAGATAACCTCGGTGGCTTCTGTTACCAGAAATGATATTACGTTTTCACTACGTCTTTTTGTCTAATGTGTTTCTGTGCTGTATCAATGTTTACTCGCAGTCTGTGATTTTTGTTCCTGATTTACACTCTACTACGTAGCTCTATAATGTCATTTCTTTGGTACTCTATTAGATTGACCGGGTGAGAGCATGCGTTCTTTTTCCTACGGTGGTCCTTCGATCTTCTGTGTGAGCTTTTCTTTCCCTTCCATCGTGTTTCTCCTTTGTGGTGAAAATTTCAAAGTGTATCGCTGTAAACCTGATTGGGTCCGTCGTGTTTATTTTGAGTAAAATATGCAAAGTTGCATGTTCGACTGATGCTTTAGTAGCAAAAGTGTTACACGTGCCTCGTACGATAATGTAATGGTGTTCGATGGACTAGGTACATTGGCTAAACATGCATTATTTAAAAATCAGTCAAGATAAACGTTAAATCTACCTGAATGTACTATTTAAAATTCTCCGTAGTAATTCACGCTGCGATTAAAATTTGGTTATCGGTTACAGTTCAATCCTTCCCACTATGAATCGATCAAGTGGGAGTGCTTTCGCAGTTAGGAGGCAAATTATAGCAACACTCGCAGAAACAAGTGGAAGTCGTAGACGAAGAGTTAGACACAGATTGCGGGAAATGGCTGAGAGCTAAAACCTCGTTTATTTTACGTTGATAGTTCAAGTCCCAGCGAGATGTGAATTTCTGATCGTAGATTAGAACTGTAACTGTACGTTTTTTTTTCACAGATAAGATGTAGAAAAAGTGAAAAATGGCAGGGACGTGTATAAAGAGTGAAATCGCAGTTTTGAGAGAGAGAAAAGGAGTCGCTCCTAAAGGACACTTGTTCCAGAGTGGGACGTATCCCGAGGAGTGTGAGATTTGTGACCGAGGCGAGTTATTCCTGACTCCTGCTATTGTGTTACGTGATTTTCAAGCTACTCGAGGTCACCCGGGAGTGATGAATAACGTGAAATTATTCGTTGCTCGGGACGAATACGTCGTGTTTAATTATGCCGGGCAACGGGAGAGTTTCTACGGCCATGTGCGGAGTCACTGCCATAAAGCTCGGACAGATATCCAAAGTAATTTAGTCGCCATAAAGATTGTACTACTAAGTCGAAGTTATATACATATATATAAAAAAAAAAGTCTGATTAAAAAGATGGAGCGCTCCACATTCCTCACTTAAGAAGTAAGTAATGCGTTATCAGATACCTCCGTTTATACTCATAACAATTAATTTCTCTCTCGCCAGCGGCGCGACGTTTTCACGCAGACTAAAATTGATATGCCATAACGTCGAATCTACTTATCATCTGGCGTGCTCGTCAAAAATTCACATCTACACTGCGACTTGACTCATCTTGTTCCATAGAATGGATTAGCACCTTTTTTTTCTCTCTCTCTCTTTCAAGGACGAAGCGTACTTTGGAGTCATGAAGGGACGTAGAATTAACGCATGTGGAAGATATTTGCATCGCTTGTCCTAGGGAATTAACATTCGCTTAGAATTAGTCTTAGACTTTTCTTAATAACGATAGGCAGGGTGTAGTGGTCAAAGTACATATACTTCACATGTTTGAAATAAATTTTAAGCCACAGAGATTCGCTTTTGTTTCTAAGAGACGGGCTTGTTAACGCGATCGTCATCGCCGAAGTTTTTTTTTTTCCTTTTTCTTATGTCGCATCAAGTAATCACAATCAAGTGTTTCATCCAGGGTCCATTTTCAATCGATCACGATTCGCTACTCACTACCCTATTAGAGAAAGAAAACTGCTAAGCGAATCGCATGTTATCATTTTCTTTCGTTAGCTGTAATTAATGCACATTACAATAATGATTTGTAATCGCTGTCACGAAACTGATTTTGTATTGAACATGTGATTAACCGTAGAGTACATGATTGTGCTGTATAGACTTTGAGTTCTGTTGCCCCATTCGAATGCAAATGTTAAGGAGTGCCAACATTCGATTGAGCTCTACATTGAGTGAAAACCTTACTTTCAATATATAAAAAAAAAGAAAAAAGGGAATTTTTGTGACCAATTGATTTTTCCTTGCTATCGTTAACGAAACAAGATCAAACTAAATTACGGCTTATTACAACGATTTACCTCTCGGATGCCGCTTCTATATTGCTTTAAGAAATCTCACGCTAAAAACGGTGGGTGCAACAAAGCTTTTTGCTGAAGGCTTAGAATGAGAATTTTTTCGCTCAGGGTGTACAATCCTTAGAGTGCATCTTAGCCGCGGTCGATAGTGGGTTCTTCGCTTCGCCATTAACGCATTAACCCGTTAATTAGCTCCATGCCATCACTAACCGACAACACTTTTAGCTACCAAAGGCAAATCCTTGACAGTGCTGCCGGAGGCGCCGACGCTGCGACGCTGCTTGACGCTGCCGGACGCTCGACCTCCTGTACCTCCGCTGACGTCCACCAGCTCCACCGACGAGGAGAACTTGACCGGGTGCACGCCGGCCCTTCGACGACGCCGACTCAGCGAGAAGTACGTTACGGACGTCAGCCAGCTCAACCTGAGGTTCCAGAGGCCTCAACGCAGGACGAGGCCCAACTCCGAGGTCCTCTCCAGATTCTACCCCAGGGGTGTACCTTCGCATCTCCTCGGCGAGGCTGGCAAGAGGAACGAGGAGAGCAGCGACAACGACTCCGACAGCAGCGAGCCACCGAATCCTCAGCCTCCGCCTCCGCCGACGACACTACCGCCTCATGTAGCAGAAAATAACGCTAGGTATATTAGAAATAATAAATGTAAAATAACGCTTGTCGAATTGCAGTACCAGAAAATAACGCTAGGTATACTAGAAATAATAAATGTAAAATAACGTTTGTCGAATTGCAGTAGCAGAAAATAACGTTAGGTATATTAGAAATAATAAATGTAAAATAACGCTTGTCTAATTGAGTCGTCAGACCCTACAAGGGTCCTGGCAGGTCCTTTTTAGTGGAGCATTTTAACACTAAACGTACCACCTGATCGTTTTTAATCCTATTCTGGATTCAGGTTTGCGAGGTCCTTTTTGATTGACTGTTTTACTTTGAGTGGGTGGTTAGAGCGTGGATGGACGATTGGGAGATACGTTTTGGCCTTGATGTAATTTTCTTCGTACTCGTTAGAGATTTTGGGGCCAAGTATATTTTTTGTGGAATTTTAGACAATCGAGAATAACCGAGGAAATTATTTTTCCCAGGTGCCGCAGATTTAGGCCTATGCCGGATGCAACGGTAGTGACCAGGGAGTCGTGAGACTTAACGTTGGGATCCTGCAGAAATCCTCTTTTGCGTTACAATCGACGAAGTTCTACCACAGCCAACTAGGAATGTGATACCTTTTTGGATCGAATAAGTACGTAGGCTTTCTAGTAGCTGAAAACACTCGTGTAAAACTTGAAAAAGACTTTCGCGCGAGAGGGGGCCGCTCTCACCTCCCTCGACGTTATAAATCGAAGCTACGTTGTATTTACGGATTACAGTGACAAGCGAGTTGTCATTACTGTAAGGTTTCCAGGTGACAAAATTGACTTACAACCATACGGCCGAGTTTGGTGTTACCGAGTTTACGTTTAGTATTGGTTTCTCCCCATTTTCGTCCGAGGGTGTTGTTTCTTTCTTTTTTTGGTTTTTTACTTCGCGATGGGTACAATCCGACGAGATTGGTAACGGACCGTGGGTGCTTTCGTAAAATCGAACGTGGAGGCGATTATTAATTCTACCTCCTCTCTGTGGTTATACAACCAATCATGACAAATCGTCCATATTGACGTACCCTCGCAAGAATTTACAAGGAGAGGAAAATTACCTCCGGAAGGAAGATAGGAAAATTGTTTTTAAATGCCAGTCGAGCTAATCGATATAAAGGAATCCTTTGTGGGATTTCTTTCAGACGGGGAAAAAGCTGGCTCTTTTAAATGCCCAACTGTTTCAGCTGCTGATAATCGAAGTCTCGATATTGGCTGATGTACCCGGAAGAATCTTTACAAATTATCTATTGACATTCATTCGGATTCAGATTTGTAAGTCAGGACGTCACGCAAATTCGCTGTGCTCTTGAGCAGGCTCTCTTAAATGATGATTAATGCTTGTCAATAGTTCAGAATGTTATTCACACGGTGCAGAGTAAGAATTTAATTGTATGTCCATGTTTATAGCGGATTCCTCCGTTCGGGTTTACGAAAGCACGTTTCTTTTTTTTTTTTCTAGTTTGTACATTAAGCACAAAATTGAAAGCCAGTCCCAAGAATCATCCTGCTTGCCTTCGAGCGTGCAATCATTCGACGGAGCCCCGAATTTATCCGAACTTTGTCACAAGAAAGGGCCCAAAAAGTGCGCCATTATAAGAGGAACCTAAAGATGCACCTCAAACGGATTCGCATCACCTCGGAACGAACCTTCGCAGAGAGGATCTTCCGGGAAAAGGAGGCTGTGGATCCTTGGACCTGTAATTCTAGAGGGTCTTGAGTAAAAGGTCGATCATACTCCTGAACGCAAACGCAAACATATTTCAATGCGTTCTACGCCACCCTCGGTTCAATAATACCAATATGGACATTTTCGTTCAAACGCAATTTACCACCCGAAATATCACCTTCCATTAATGGTGAATTATTAGTAAAATTAGTAAAATCCATTAATGGTAAGATAAAAAGAAATTCGCTTATAATTTCTGTTTCGAGATCCTGCAATATCCTTTCTTCTCGATCAGCGAAATAATCGAAATTTAAATTCATATTCAGAGAGAGGAAAATATCGACCGAAGGAAAAATGAGAGAATTAGCTGAACGCGACGAAGGAAAGTGCGTTGGATGCCACTCTGACTTGTCTTATTACTTTGTTTGGCTTATAATTTTCACTTTTGCGGTTACGTTTCATGAGTATGACTGTCCCATTAACGACAGAGTCTCGGCTAGAGCTTTAGTCCGCTTGACATATTGACTATACTACGTATATTAACACGGAGCTTGATTCCCGCGCGAAAAGGGACGACTCGGTAGGCGAGCGTGCAATGTTTCACATTTAGTTGTTAACCCGTACACGCGGTTTATTTTGTTTTAAAATGTATTTATTACGTGCAAGAGAGACGCTGCTTCTTGTAACGCGAGAATCCTGAGCTATTAACGCTGCTAATATCGGCTGATACTAAATGCGAGTTTCCCACGTGTAATAATCGGCGAGGTGCAATTGGCACGGTGTGCTTGCTCTCTCGGCATTCGTGTAGTGTATGTACACTGAAAACTAACGTGCGGCTTAAGAATTACACGGAAAGATTTTGCATATCTCGGGAGACATCACGGAAAAGAAAGAAAATACCCTGAGCGAAAAGACCACTTACTATTACTTTCTATAAAAAGGGGAATTCTCGTGACGTAAAGATGTTGACTCTCTGTTATCAGCCAAAGAAATTGTGGGACTGATTGAACGAAACTGATAGAAATTTCTTGAGCTCAACTTCATCTGGTTTTCATCTTATATTATTATTAGATTTTCGGTATTTAAACGTTTTGCAAAGTAACGTTGGTTCGCGGTGAAAAATGAAGACTGGAAGAATTTCTTATGGTTTTGTATCAATTTCTCGCTCAGGGTGGAGAAATGTTCAAACGAGTAATCGCGTTGCACTTTCGGCGAGATTTTACACCATGTGTATGTTCTTACGAAACTTATTGTACGGAGACTCGGATATGTAAAACTTGTAATGCCTTCCGCCGGATTAATCCGGATGTGTAAGACTCTTTCCGTTCTTTCTTAACAATTATCGTTTAAAGGCATGGAGACCATTTCCGGCGAAATAATCTCGGAGTGGCTCCGCAGGACCTGGGCGAGTGTGCTAGTCTTGGATTATTTAACATTGAACTCGAGGAAAGGCAACAATATTTAGGTAGTAATGACTCTTAAGTTGTAATGTACGGTTTGCGAGTATCGAGTCGTGTCGGACCTTCGATCCGACCCAGAAACGTAATGTATTTAGAGGTAAATTGAAGGTATTTGCGAGGGTGCGCTCCAAAACGAGGCAACGAGGGTCGTCGTTAATCCTGTCCGTTCTGCGTTCGCGAGATTTCGCGATTTTCCCGATTTTCCCTGAAACACTGAGAGCAGATGCACCCTGTAACTTGTCCGTACACTTTTGCGAATCGCGACTCGAATTTCGCGAGATTCTGGAAACCTCGACTTGAGCATTTAAAAAGGAAGGAAAGACACGTCGAAGTGTGTCGCGTACGCCGACTGAAAGTTTCGCCGCTTTTTTTTTTTGGTTTTAATTCCAACCGATCCGAAGAAGGTATAGTCAAATCAAGATCAATACAGCTGATAAGTGTATGAATCTGATATCAGCTGATTATCGGTGATCGGTGAAGTGACTCCGGGATCTCGAATAGCTTTCTCCTCTACGGAGAAAACTAGCATCGAAGCTAGTTTCCTTTTTCTTTTGTATGTTACTGAAAAGAAGAATCTTGCAGACTTCATTTCATGTCACGCCAGGAATTCTGTTGATTGACTTGTCAGTAATGTGGGAAATTAATAGGGTTAATTTATGTACTTAATCGACGATTAGTGATGGAATGAATGTTAGATATGCGATTTTCACTAGAAACGGCAGCTTTTTTTTTATTTTACCTGTCCTTGCTTCTCACTCTTGGGTTGTCTACAACCGAAGGGACAGGGAGAGAAGTGGGGGGGAGTTGACCAATCAGGGAAGGGAATAAGCGACGGAGTGGGGGAAGTCAGCTGATCTCCCGGGGTCACTTCGCCCAGGGCGAATGCTTTGCACTGTCGATTTAAATTATCGTTCCCAATCAGGGCTCACCGAGCAAACAATTGTTTTTCCACTTTCGTCGCTGCCTGCTTCGTCGTTGATACGATAAAGCAGACTTGTGAAGGGTTCACTTAATGAGAATATTTCATAAGCACCGCTAGACTAAAACGAACTAAAAAAAAAAACAGAAAAAAGAGGAAAAAGAAATAATATATTCATTGACTTCTAACGTGAGTTTGACCTCATTTATACGTACAGTTTATGTTCTTGCGGATTTTCTGTTTCTTCTGCAAAATCCGGTCAGGCGAATGCAACCGCATACGTGGACAATTGATGTCATTTACCATTATTTATTTAAAGAACCGCACGAAGTGAGGGCAACTGTATATACCTATTGACCTCGTTCTCTTTCTTTTCTTGTTGACTCTTTTTTCCTTTAATTTAATTTATTAGTTAACTAGATCTGGTCATCCTGCGGTACAATCAAATTGGCAAACAGTGTAAAGCCACGACTGCAGATTTTAATCACTATAAGATAACGTCAACAGGCATCTTACCGTCGGCGAGTCGAACAAAACGTTAACAACAATAATTTACTCAAGAACAATATATTTTTTAATTCGTATTGCATAGCATAACCAGTACACCCGCTGTTAATATAATTGAACAATTATTGGTAAACAAAACCTTGATTTCAACCTCGTAAATTTGTTTTGCTGCAACAGCCAAATTAGAGGCACATTATATATGGCGCCACCGACATTTTTTTTTTAATAATTATTTAAGTTCGTTAAAGTAATATATAAATTGTAAACGTCTCGACAATTGATTGGAAGCGACGATGCTGTGCAAATGAGGCGATAGAAATTCAAGGAAAAAAAAATTAACTGTCCAAGTAGTCGAATTAGCGGAGTAAAGAGGCGGTGGGCGCGACTTTACTATTTCGATTTAAAGGATGACACTAAATCGCTTAAACGCTGAGTAGCGTCAGCTCTCATTTTCCGAAAATCTCCATTCCAAGCAAAACTGTCGAAAAAACTTACATCCGATAGTGAACGAGTTTAATCATTGTCGAATAATCGACGTCAATACATAGGACACGATATATTTAAACCTAGAGAAAAGGAGATCGTTTCTCTTCGAATGGAACGCTTAGTTGGTCCTTTTCGATTCCTTGATGACTCGATCGATTGTAAAGCCCTAGACACTAGCCAGCTCTAGCGAAGATCTGAAATAAGCGTAAATTGTCGCAATTAGCGGATACCCCGACTTTCGTTTGTTCGGCATAAATTGATAAGTGATCCTTCGAAAAATCTCTACTCATTCAGATCATACGACAACTGATTAGCATTTCTTCACTGGTACTCGATTTCCGATCGATTGTAAAGTCTTAGACCCGAGCCAGATGTAGGAAAAGCTGTAAAAAGGAATAAGCGCAAATTCCCGCTACTAGCGGCTATCCCGTTTCTCGTTTATCCGGTGTAAATCGATAAGAGATAATAGTTCCTCCGAAGAGTTGCTCCTCGCGAGAACAAGATGGCGGCTGATTAACATTTCCGCGCGATCGCTTCCGTTGCCCTTGCTGCGACTTGCTACCGTAAACCCACGAGGTTAGGCACGAGCCAGGAACAAATCTGAAATAAGCGTCAATTTTCACCGTCATCGTTTGTCCCAGTCTTCGTTTAGTCGACAGAAATCGATGAACGATATTGGTTCCTCCTAAGAGTCGCCATGGTCCCTCTCGGACAAGATGGCGGCCGCTCGGCATTTCCTCGCGATCGCTTCCACCGACCGTCGATTTGTGCCTGGTAATAAACAGACAACGACGAGAAATAGAGAGAGAAAAGAGAAATACATAAAAAGAGAGGTGTCCAGGACTCGCAAGAATGTCCTCCGCGTTTTCGCCTTCGTTTAGGGACGCGCTGAGAAAGCTCCCGTTCGCCTCGCAAACTTAACCCGAAGAAGTTTATACATTAGTTAGCCGAATTCCGTGATAAACGAGACTAGTCAACTAAGGCCGCGTAACGCAATTATTGCGTGATAATCCGTTATACGGAGGCCTCCGTACATAAAGCCACGTTGCGTCGCACGAAGCGAGAGGTTATTAACTCGTAGCAACATTACCAAGTAGAAGTATGGCGCTTTGTTGTTATAATTTGAGTCACGTTTACATTGTAAGAGATGCTATTCGATCCCGAGAGGAAGTTTTGTAAGACGCGCGACGATACGAACCGGAGGCGAGTCTGTCATCACAATAATACATATATATTATATATATTATACATATATAATATATGTAATATATGTATACGCGTAATATCAAAATGTGTTCTCACGTTGGTCGTAACCGATTAATTTTATTATTTACACGGCGATCGACGTCCTTTTGCGCCTTTGGGCGAGAGAAATTAAAGAAGAAATTTTCCATCGTACTCCGCCTCGTTGATTACAGCCGCACTTTCATTCATACGCTTTCCGATCGAGCTGAATTCGTCTCCCCATTTCGTTTGTAGGATAAGGTAGTCGTAAGTAATCTAGAGAGGCCGTGTTTAAGTTACCTTCGATCTCGAGACGCTCGGGTTTATCGGCTTTCGGTATTTTTAAGGCTGATTCGGGCGTATACGTGCCGTATCCGTTCCCTATCCGTGCCGTATCCGTGCTGCATCCGTGCAGATCCGTACAGAGGATTGACACACTGATGTGACTCTAAAAAAATATGCTCACTGAAGGGATACGGTACGGATATATGTCTGAATGAGTCTTTAAGCAGTCCCGAGAGCTTCGGAGTGGTGTGAAAGTAACTTAATATCGATGGGCGAATTTTCGACCGCGTTTGCAATAATTCTACCGGCTGATATTATCCAAATGACATCCAAAGCCTTTATCTCGATAATTAATAGGTAGTCTTGAAGGCTTAAAGGACCTTTAACTTACTTTAGCGACACGGTAAGTTGGAAGCATATCTTTTCAAGATTTCAGGCACTGGGAAAAAAAGAATTAGTTGGCTCAAAGAAATATGCAGTGGGACTAAAAAATCTAATTAAACGTCGGATTGAGTAAACGAAATTCTTTCAAATCGGTGGCAATTCTTCTTTCCAAGAAAATTGTTTATTGCTATTTATCAGGCGACGGGATATGTGTCGAGAATATATATTTGTGTCGGACGACTAATCTCTTTTCTTTTTTTCTCAGTGCATTCTCGGGTGATCAGTCGATACCTCCAATGTCTGCTATTGCGTCTTGGTGGACATTTAATTTAATTATTAATATCTTATTATATCGTTACGTTACCTTAATGCGAGCTTCGCAAATGATCGAATTCGCGCCGATGTCAAGCCCTCGCGTGCGATATCGAGAACGACTGTACGATACGAACAACCGTGATCTAAATGAAAGAAAGAAAAAGAAAAACAGAATCAAATTAAACTTACGCCGTAACGAACTGTCAAGAGGAATCGATGTATCCATCGTTTACGATTGTCAATGACACTTAAGACAAGAAAAAAGAAAAAAAAAAATATCACGAGCTACTCTCCAGTCTTCGTGTTTTCCGTCACCACCTAACGTTCTGCAGGCTGGTTAAAAAGAAGAGAAAAAGAGAAACTGTATATATGTACATGTTTTTAATTTGTTCATCCGTTCGAGAGACTGCGTTGTGAACAGCCCTTGTAAAAAAAGTGTTATCAACGTCACTACCGGTGTCGCGGATCTTGTAGATTTAATATTATTAGTGCCATTATTAGGCGATGTCATAAATTCGCCGACAGATTTGCAAAAATTAAAAGACGTATCTCATTTTGCAGCAAAATGAAATGCGCATTAATTAACAATGTATCCTCCGGTATATTTGATGACTTTTTGCCGTCTTTTTGGGTTGTTCAAATTTTTTCTTTTTTTTAATAAGTACGAAAATAATTTTTTCCTTCTGTCGGAAAATACATGTAAAAATTATTGGAAGTACTTTCAGATTTGTAACTGAAAAGAAAAGGTTTCAGGACAAGGAGTTCCGAAAAGAGTAATGAATGTCGAAATTGATAGCATATAATTCTCTCGAAGGATAATTCGCAGCATAGAAAATTTGCTCTCAAATTTACGGAACAATCCGATATCACCGTTTAATTCTAAGATCGCAATTTTTATAAGATATGAGTCTCTTGACATGTATCGATACAAAGATTTCGGTTTAATTCTAATATCGTCATTAATGATGCACCGATAGTATCGGTGTAACGATATCAATATCACTTGGCACTGGTAATATTAATTTACACATAACTAGCGTCGCCGGTAGAGAGAGAGTAACGCCTTTTTATGAGGAAGGATTCAAAGATGTCGGATTTTATATCGCAAAAGATATTTAATCTAAAGCAGTTATAAGCTAGAACACTGTGATCGCGCCAGCTAATGGTGTCGGGAGGCCAATTAATCACATCTATTGTAGCCGAATGATTAGGCCATAGTGCACAGCTTTTCGACACGACAGCCAGTAATCATAGGCGTTGCAATCCAGGAGGAGCGTGTGTATTTTAATGTTCCACAGTTTTTAATCGTCCCGCTGTATTTTCGAGCGCTTCATTCTCCGAAGCGGCGCGTCTTCACTTTTCCGAGGCTAGGTCACGACGAGGCAGGTCGGTGAAGTAGACACAATATTTATAAAATAGAGAAATGGTATTTGTAAAATAAAATAATTCCAAGCAATTATATATATATATAATATACAGTATATATATATACTCTTCAGTAATATCAAGCTTAATGTATGGCTAGGTATAATGGCGGACATGAATGCCTCCCCTGCAGATACGGCATCGCCTGTGCAAGACGGAAGGGCATTGATGTCTCCCAGTGTACACGTAGTGATGGGATAGCTGGGCCTGTTAGAAATATCCTTCGTTGAACAAAGATATCATTTGTCAAATGGCTAATCATTTCTGACAGTCTCCAGTATGGTGTGCAATATATTATGATATATAATCTTCGAAGGGCCGGTCGAAGGCGGGTCGGCCATTTTGAATTGAGGCGACAAACGCGAATGTAGCCACATTTCTCACGTTTCAATAGAGACGTGGGTGACAAAATTATTGAATTACGTGGAGAAATTCCAAATAATTCGGTATATCCAGTTCATAGGAAAGTATAAACGATTGACCTCATAAACGCCACTTTCGTATCTTAAAAGACGCGAAGACGGATAAACAAAGATGGCCGCCATCCGTCCCTTCCCCTTACGTTTGGACCTTCTCCCTCAATGCGATACTCTACATCCCTCTCTAAAATCCATAATTAATCTCTCGAACGCGGAACTCTAATGACGAGTTCTTATGCAATCGAGAGTTCGTTGCAGGGAATTTCGAATTCATCGACCGCGCGATTTTCATGACGCCTTGCAGCAACTGCGCTTCAAACCGACCCTAACTGTAGAGTTTGAATGCCGACGCGCTGCAAACCGCACCGATACCCGTCTAGCTTTCATCGGTGACGTAACTTCCGGTATACGCGTCTGAGAAAAACTCTCACCGCGATATATACCCGAAGAAATTCTCGAAGGCGTTCGACCGTTGAATATGGCGCCGTAGAGCAATCAAGAGGGAAGACTCGAGCGACTTTGGGATACGGGGAAGGATTCCGTCGTCCTTATTCCCGAGTGCAACGTCATGGCGTCATGGAATCGTTAAGTAATTCCTTTCCTCTGCGTAAGTACTCTAAGGCGATCCTGCTAATAACAGACGACTGTTACAAATTGCAGTTCGGCTAAACGCGGAAATTGTATCGCAAAGGGCGATGAACTTTAGGGCAATGAAGCTGAGCTGCAGATGAGGAAAGCTGCCGCAACGCGAACGGGTTAATCTAGCGGGCATGATTCATAACGTGAGTTGACCGACTGAGGAATATCGAGTTTCTAATTACCGATGCGCGTGTCTGTTACGTTTATTGCTGCGTCTTTCAGAAAACACGCGGGAATGGGTTGCGACACTCTGGTAAGTAGGTATTTAGCCGGCATATTAACATCAATAGCCGCTTCGCAATGAGTTCTCGTATCCGATTAATATACCTTTTTATCGGCAGCACATTTAAATCAGGCAAAAATGGAATCCATCATTCCTGATTGTCGTTGATCTCACATAATTAATGTAATTCAGGAGATAATTCAAGGATTCACCCAAAGCTATGTAATTATTAACAGAGATTTAATTTTTAGTATCGACGTCAGGGGGCGCTCACAAACGCGGCATTAACATCTCCTTCATAAACATCCTTATACCCTCGTTAACATGCAAAATAAAACGGGGTTTATACGTGAATCATTTCGAGATCATTTCCTTACTGCTGGAAACGTATAACGAAAAGCCATACACGTAGGATATATACGCTGAGAAAATTGCTTCCGCCATAGAAACCCTCGTATACGAGAGCCATTCGAATGCTCTGAAATCAAAGTTCGGTAGATAAAATATTCCTTTCGGGCGTTCTTAACCCTCTGCAACCTCTTTCTAGGCCAAAAGAAACCTGACATAGCATATTTGCAAGTATCAACCTTCTGACATTAACTTTCCATTAATAAGGTAGGACATAAAATATCACATGTGTGTCTTCAAAGTTACACGGTGTTAAAAGATTAAATACGTCCTCTAAGCTCTCTTTTTCTTGCTTAATGCCCTCTCTCGAAAAACCTGGATGAATTCGCCAGTTCTCCGGTAATTTTTTTTCCACGTTACAGTAAAAGAAACAAGTCTGATCATCACGAAGGAGGATGACTTTCCTGGGGAGGCGGGGGCACTTTACGGGCGAGCGGTGGACGTGGGAACATTAAAGCGTCTAATGGTCTTGACTATCTTGTTCCCCGTGTTTCTCCCGTGACATGACGTGCGAGGATACGCGTGTCCAAGCGAGGTACTGACGTCAGTGGTCTCCTTCTGCTACGACGGTGGACTTTGGCAGAACTTGTTTGACCGCTGGCACCGTCCGCGATTTGCATCGTAGTCCTGTTCACTCGACGAACTCGGCTCGATTATTCACTTTTTTATTCGCCGGCAGCCAGCCGATCATTAAGGACGGTCAATCAAGTCTACTTTCCGCGCCTCCTATGTTTTCTGACCCGTGTACCCCGACAACATTTCCAACGATTAAATAGAGACGGGAGAATAGTCCTGCGCATGCGCGGCACGTGGAAAACCGCCTTTACGCTCGTTTTTCTACAACGTAATACACGTATTTACACCCAAATCATGTCCCGTATTGTTATATGACTGATTATCGTTTGTTCCCTGCACATAAATTACGCAATTCATATAAATCCACGGTAATTCGCCGGTTATGCAAAGCAGCGTTGCGACGAGATGGGTGACGCATGCACGGAAGGATGCAAGAACATTTGGCTTCTTCATAACGTGGAAGAAAAATAATATTGAGGTGGTATGAATGTGGGGCCTGCGAAGTCTCGTTTATGAAACTTTTCTCTAAACTAAGGGTACCGAATCGTTTGTAATTTTGCTACATATGTAGGGAGGCTCTAAGGAAGGTTCCGACGTCCATATAATTGAATTTTTTACATTTGTGTATAAACCTGAAACAGTTTCCTAGGCTCAACTAGAGATTGAGGCGCATGAAATATCTAGATGTAATTACGTCAGCTTCGCACGTTTTATTTTTTTTTTTTACGAAAATTAATCGCAGCTTTAGTATTTTGTTGACTTTTACCAGAATCCGCATAATGATATCGGCGGTCGTAAGGGCGTCTTTTGTGGATCTAAACTGTCGATTAAATAGTAAAAGTGAGTAAAGTAATAGTAAAAGTCTTGATACGGTTCCCACGTGGGTGTTTTACGTCAGCAACAGGAAAGAGATGTCGAGCCAGTGTTAAGCATCGGTTACGACTCGTAATAGTGGCACAATACGTCAGTAGTCAATGGTAGAGTAATGACCGGGCCAACGTCGTGTACGGAATGACCAAAAGCATTCCTGGCCTTCCAGAATTCGTGGAATACTTAAACTGACTTACCGTTTTGCGAAATCGGTCAAAGTGCACGCGTCCATTCCGCTCGTGCTCCGAAAGGATAAACATGTCTTCGAGCGAAAAGGAATCGTGAGATGCGCCAAATCGTATATCCAGAAGGCATCAAATCGTCCCTCTTTAGCTTACTGTCTAAAAAAAAGTATCTAATCAATGGCGGCCCGCTATAATAAGGAGCCATGGCACTATCAAAAAGAGCCAGCCGTTTAATTTTTTTTTTTTACTTTTGGACATTTCACAAAATAAACAAGACAATCCATCCTTTAAGTTTGCTATAAACTTATATATTTTGGCACCGCCTTTCCGAATAGTCACGAACCACCACTGTATCTAATATATACAGATAAAACTACGGTTCTTAGATATCTCACCCTTTCGACACTTCCTGATTCGTTTCGCGGCTGTTGAACTTCCTCTGCACGCTTCGTTCTTCCAGAGCACGTTCACGGTTACATGTAAAATGCAACTCTAAAACCTTTGCCATAATTAGTGACATCATGAATGGATTCAACGACTTGCCACTGTTGTGTAAGATATCTAAGCGTGAAAACATGCGTAACGATGTAAATACACCGGGTCTGCCAGATAGCTTCGAGACAGGAAATGTGTGATATTGTGTATACTTACCGTATGAAATGTTCTTCAATAATGTTTCAAGACTTTCAGTCCACTGTACACACACAAATTCCTATGTAGGGCAGTTTCGAGCAGATTTGAGCGGCATTTATCAGGTATAGTAGGCAACTACAATTGGTCGAAGTCAGGCTGTGGAACGGTACTTTCACGTCGCCTTAAAATGGTGCAATTTGCAAAATCAGTCGGTAAAGCGGTACTTTCACGATACCTTGAGCATGAATCGTTCGGTTCATACTACTGTTTGATGTCCAAAAAGGACTAGGCTCGTATCCACCTCAAGAAAGAGGAGCATCGACGCCCAAGGCGTCTTCGAGTCGTCGCGACGACACCAGGCTGGAGAACTATTTAAGACCAAGGAGTAACGGCACTTCCAGTTGATAAAATCCCATTGAATTTATATTCCGGATTTCTCGAACTGCTGGAGAGTAGTAACTGTTCTTACGCCAAACTTCTTGACATAATTTGTATAAATCTTATAAACCAAGGATTCTCCTCGTGTCCCACTTTTGGCGTTAAAAAAGTTTTTTTAACCATTTATACTGTACATAAAAAACGTCTTTTAACACTAAAAGTGAGGATGTGGGACTTTCCAGATCTTGAAAATTCAACGTCTCTTAAAAAACTGGTGTCGTAGAAACGACTAGGTAAACACCTCCGATTGATCCTGAAACTTGATGAACGTTAACAAAAATCGCCAAGAGTTCGCATTTCGAAGCCTTACCGCACGGAATCGCTCAAGGCTGCAAGAAATCGGAGCCGGTCATTGCGGTACAATTATTTAGACCGCAGCATAATAAACATGTTCCGTGTCGAAACAATTAACCGGCAGACTGGCCCAAGGTGGTTGTGGACCAGCGGTGAACTGTTGAAAATATTCATAAAATTCGTGAACTTTCATTACCCAAGGTTGTACTAAAATCATACATTTGATGTCTTAAAAGTGAACCAGTACACATCCATGAAATAAATGAAAATAAATTTCCGAATAAATATACAACTTTATAACATCACGGGAAACCTGAGGATTTTTGAAAAATTTTATAATGTCACCTGAAGTCTCGTGAGATTTCGTGAATTTATATAGTATATAAAATTTAACTACCTCGTGAAATTGCGTAGGGAGATCAATAACACTTGGAATTCAGCGGAATGTGATAAATTCTGCTGAAATGGAAGCTATTACAATTAAATAAGCTATAAAACGTAAAAATGTAACGTAAATTGAAAATATTTTTTTCAACGGGGCCCGTTCGGATCGAGCGTCTCAAAGGATGCCACAATTTGGAGAGGACGCTCGAGGTCGACGTCCAGATTGGGCCAGCTGGGAGGTATCTCTCGATCAAGGAGAGCCTGAGAGGGGGATCCGGCAAAGGAGCACGGAGAGCAAGGAACACTCGCGGCGGTCGAGCGAGTAGATGCGACCCGATCGGGGAGAGGGGGCAATAATAAATGTTTCACCTGAGCGGCGAGCAGGCTCGGCTGCGCCTGGTTAGTGTCTCGGCCGCCTTCGTACCGCTCACTCGCTGCCCCGTCGCCTCGAGAGCGAGAACCGCCGACGCGTCGCACCGAGCGGACCCCTGCGGACTGCTCGGCCTCGCTCGGTCCCCGAGGAACGGGACCGATCTCGAGCCCTCTCGGGGCAGCCTCCGATTTCCTTCGATTTCCCTCGAGTTTTCCCCGAGTTTCCCCGAGTTTCCCCGAATTTACCTCGAACTTACCTCGGATTTATCTCGATTCGGATCCTCGGCTTTGTCGCCGGCGTGACACACTTGGACGCGACTTTCTCCGAAGTGCCGCAACCGCCTCGAGTCCCGTGACGCGCACCGCGGACTCGCCGCTGATTCGTCCAGCCCTTGTAGCGCCGGTCACGTGGGCCCGGCTCGCCGACCAATCAGCGCGCTCGCCGCGATACCGCGAACCCCGACCGATTCGAACCGCGAGGCGCCACTCTAGGTGTGCACCCGCATACCACCGCCCGGTGAGCGCAGACTGCGAGGAAACATGAGGGTGCACCGAGGAATCTGCGCGAAGCTTCAGGCGGGCTTCCTGCGACGATGGTGTAAGTTTTGCACGTCCATTTTAACGTAAATCGAAACTTTCTTCCCGAAAGTTATACCTGAAAGTATGCATCCCTTCCATGAGCGGCAACTCGGGACTGAAAACCGAACTACATGGTCATGTGAGCTTACTGACCCTCCCTCGTCCGAGACCCCATTAAATCGAGTTGTAGCATGTACCTTAAAAGAAAACCACTTTCTAGAGACGAAATTAAGAGAAATTTTGAATGTGAAAATGACTTTAAAGGAATTAATAATATTCTTGTAACAAATTGGAGTTTAATGGAGTTAAAGGTATCTCTGAGGTTTTCTCTCAAACAGTCCAAACGTGAACAGTTTTGCGTGGGCGATAACTTTTGTTGGCTCGCCGATTTCCTCGTAGACGAGGTATGAGTATGAGTTTAAGTTTCCATTGAAGCCGCGAAAGGGGAAATCGACCGGTGGTTTCGTTTCGAGTAATCGTTATGTCGGAGGAAGTAATTCCGGAGTAGGTAAGGTGTTCCACTTCGAGTAATAGTAACGAGAATTACGCGGTTCCGGGATTCGCGTTTATCTCGATACCGAGATCGATCGAACAGAACGAGCCAATAATGGGCATCGCATGATTTTTTAAACACGTCTTAAAGTATGCAAATTTAAACATGAAATTATAGAAATCCATACGCGATTCTAAGGTAATAAAAAAGTGGCGCGAATGGATCTCGTTTATGAAACTTTTCATCAGACTGGAAATACCGAATTGTGTGAAATTTTACCACATGCATATCAAGGCCCCAGTGAAAGTTCCGATATTCATGAATTTTATTTTTTTTTTCCAATTGTGTATAAACATTTAAACAATTTTTTTGAAAGAGATTTAATGAGTGTCAGGATCTCTATGTTCATATAGAATAATTTCAAACTTTCGGTCCACCCAGTTTGGTGAAAAATCCCATAAAATATTGTTTCCTCCTAACACTTTCATATCACCTTAAAATTTGCATATACCTTCATAGAATTTTGAAAGATTCATGTGCATAGATTTTCCAGAATTCGTAATCACGAGTGGCGGAATTGTATCCTTGGAGATGTGTCCCGGAAATGAAAAATTCCCTAGATTAATCTGACGATTAATTGGGACCATCCTCATCTCATTATTATTCATTATCTTAATTATACTATAAAATCCCGTATACAAAGGGCAAGGTTTGCCCAGCAGGCTGTCTGTTAACCTTGTAAATCTGAGATCTGGTTACTTTCATGGTCTTCGCGAGGTGAGACGAGAAATTAATCTTTCTCGTGTGGTTCTTTTAATCGCTGCATTCGGCCCCCTAGAGATGCGACCTTCGATTTACTCAATATATTCGTTTTGTCCTATTAAATTATATGCAGATGTCAGGGTTTTGTTAAAGGCCGATTTGCGACCTTCCTGGTCACGCATTTAAGACTTTTTGAAGGACTTTGTCAGAAGCTTGAAATCCCTATTTTGGAAAGTAACCAAATCAAGAAACTCGATTGAGTTCCGCGCCAAGTACATTTGTGCGATAAACACGTGTCCAGTAACAACTTACGGTCTTTTTTTTAACATTTTTTTAAAACTTTCATATAAAATATTATTTCTATCCAATATGGACTTTCGTGAAATGTTATTTTTTGTATTACTATTTTCATCGGATAGACAGATAGAAAATAGGAAAAAAAAAACGGATACGTCGAAACCCTCTAGAGGATGTCTAAAGCACTAATTTACTTCAAAATTCGCCTATAAAAACGACGCTAGTTTTAGAATGACCAGATATTTAAATAATTCTTCGCAGGTAAGAAAAAAAGTGCCTATTAGGAAGCGCTTAAGCTGGAAGATAAACCTTCCACAAAAGCAAAACCAACCTTCATTGGACTCGGCGTGCGGTAAACCGTTTCAATTAAAGTTTCACAAAGCCAAGTTTAAGACCTGCCTCTTATTTTTCTTCCCTTTTCTCTGGCCAGATTGCCACATTCCTTCCGCGGTGGAAGGAGAATGACGAGGGGTTTATAAAGAACTCGGTGATAATAATTTCATTGACGGCAGGATGCAAAAGGGATAAATCTTCACCGAGGCTTGGCTACAATGGGTGACTAACAATGAGAGGAGATTAATTTTGTTCACGTAGGAGAAATGATTTTTTACGGCCAAATTCGAAGGATGATACCTTCGCGATCATCATTCCAACTTCCGGGAGAGGAGTTTTACGAGCATTTGCAGTTTTGCCGTGTATCACTAATTTCTTGCTCGGGTCACGGTGCAAGGCCTTCGGTAGATGGACAATCAAGTAATCAGACGATTCACTCGCCGCTATAGCGGAGATGATGATAACACACGTAGAAATTCTTGTCGTCGGCTCTGAGCTTCCCGGAATAAAAAGTATTTCGACGAAATTTTCGATTAAGGAAGTCCAACCTCTACCGACTTCTGTTAAGGCAATCTTATCTTTCGTAGTTCTATCTTGGCGAGGTGCCATTAACCCCATGAATTTTTCCCCATTTATTTACAATAGGAGATATATTTCGGTGATATCGAAAGTAGGGCCCTCGGATTTACTCCGAGGAATTTTTCAGTTCTTCATTTTTCAATTGTTTCCACATTTTGTCATTAGATTTTTGTAAGGTGTCTAGGTAACAATGAATATTTTCATTTTTATTTATAAGTGGGAGTTAGGTTTTACGGTAATACCAGGTGAAGTGTTTTTACTTCAAGAAATGGTAAAGGTTTTCCTCAATTTTCTTGAAATTCTTAACTTTTTTTTTTTTAATTACTTTCACAGGTTCGCAGTTATTCGTTGGTTAGGTATTTTCATTTTGAGAGTGTTTGTCCATTTGTTAACAGTTGGAGTTACTTCTTCGTGCTAATTTGGTTACTCCTTCTCGATAACAAAATTACTGGTCTTTATCATGCAGATTGAAGTTCATCTTTTTCGAATTCCTTGCAACTGTGCTTGTACTCGTTGCGGTTTGCAATTGCCTCCACGTGACGCACCGAATAAGGTCTTCCCTCAGTACGTATCACGAATTCTTATCCTTTATTTTCGGTGTCCTTCGTCAACCGAGGTTGAAGATCATGACCTGAAAAAGTCGTGTACAGTTTCTATAATGTTGAAAATCCCGTGTCTCTTGACTACGAATTTACCGTGAATTTATTATTTGCAGTTCACGTCCTCGAGTAGCGACAATTGACTAATGAAATAATCACTGCGAGTAGCGTAGAAGAAACTAAAGGGAAATAAGTAAATAAACAATGTTGAAAAAACGCGGAATCTATTTACAGTCTCATTAGGTAATTGGCATTCGTAACTTCCTCATTAACTGCCTGTTCTTAAGTTGTAATTTCGAGGTCGCGTATAAGTTTTTTTTTTTCCTTCGCTCGCCTTGTTATTTATGAAATATTTTCATCCGTGACGAATATAATTACACCCTACGTTGATTGTTTATTTCTTCGGGCGATCTTTTAAAGCGGCGCTCATCACGAATTTTAACACGTTCCTGTCCGAATGATTCATAAGTTCGTCATGGATCCACGAAAATCACTCGCACCGATTTCACTGGACCTCGAATGTTGTTAAATTCAGTCTTGTTTAACGCTTTTACATGTTTCTTTAAATGTTTAATCGCAAAAGTGACTGGTGAAATCAGGAACGAAGGATGTCGTGCTAAATCGAGCACTCGTCGGTGCTCCTAATCGTACCAACGGCAGTTATTCTCATTTTTCTCCTCCTTTCATTTCTTTTTCCCATTCCGCGGACTACTTTCAGTTGAAAACAATTTCTACTTGAAGTGGTCTGAGAAAAAAAGCGGCGCCGAATGTAAGTAAACGAAAACGTATGTCGAAAATTCTTAAGGGTCGTGGAATTCTCTCAAAAGATAAATAACAGAATGTTTTTAGTTTTGTTTTAAATACAGAGTATTAAATGCAGGATTGCGGAAAATGGTTTCTTTTTTACCGTATTTCATGGCCGTCATTTTTTTTTTTTACGGCTGACGCGAATTTTGCATTACATGACGCACGGAGAAATGTCAAACCGGGAAACGTACTTGAACTTGCATCTTCGCTGGATATGAAGGTACAAGACGTGACATTTTATACAAACTCTTATTCGAGTTCCATCCGAAAGGAAGTCGAGAGTATGAGAATATCGTGTGCACTTACTGGGTACTTTAAATGTATGTACGTGTATTTTAAATTTAAGACGTAATATTTGGTTGCAATTTATTACGTCACTATTCGATAAGAACCATTTGATTAGGCGTGAATTCCAGAAGAAAAAAAAAAAAGAAATCTGCAAGTATTCATAATTTCCTGGCACTTAGAGTTCTCTGAAATTTTCTGGACTTTTTTCCACCTGCGTGTCGCTAATTATTGAAATTTACCCTCCGTCACCTGTAATTTGTAGAAGTCCGTACATGTACATTATAAAGAGATCTTCCGGGAATCTCTAAAAAGAGGATTTGCAAAAATCTACAGTTTAACAGCGTTTAATTTTTCTATCTATATATTTTTATTTAATTTTATTCTCTTGGACCGGTAATTGTTGTCCATCGCTGGAAGCGCCCAGTGCCTACACTTTGCAGCAGGTTACATGCACCTGAGTATTTTCCGGGTATCCCTGAGTTTGCAATTGCACAAACGGTCGGTTTATCTATTTTCGATTTTTTCTCTACTCTTTGGAGCTTTACGTTTACTTTCACGAGTCCGTAAATGTTGCAATTCGCTAACCGAAATACCGCGGTCGGTGCAGCTCGCAATGAGACCCGCAGGTGGACAGGCACCTGTTGCAGATCCACGTTGCCTTACCTTACGTACACTTGGATCAACCTGACCTACGTTACTCCAAGGAGCGATGTAGGTTGTCGCGGTTCGACCGACGGGCTGCAAGAGAAAGGTGGAATATTCCGCGAATAGCTCCCGTACGTTGCACTTGTCCCCGCGTAACTGCAGTCTATGTACTTCTACGAGTACCAAGCTTTGTTGCGATTTTCCATTGATCGCCCT